CACAACAGAACAGCCTCAGAGCAGCCAATGAAGCCACAGAGGGTGTCAACACCTTCCTCGACTCAAGTGACCCAGAACTAGATCCCAATAGTGACCAGTTTAAATCGCGCAAATGGGTGAAGAACATTATACAGATGACCTCTCGCGATCCAGATCGATATCCGCGTCGCACAACGGGGGTCTCCTTTCGCAACCTCAATGTTTTCGGCTACGGCACCGCGGCTGATTATCAGATGGACTTTGCCAACTTCTGGCTAAAAGGTGCAGGGTGGTTTCGCAGTGCTTTTGGATTGCAGAAGAAAGTACGCATTGACATCCTGCGGGACTTCGAAGGCATTGTTCACAGTGGTGAGATGCTAGTTGTACTAGGTCGCCCGGGAAGGTACGTGAATCGACATCCTCCCCACAAAGGACGAATCACTAATGACCAGCAGCGGATGCTCTACCCTCCTCAAAACCATCGCAGGAGAGACCCATGGCCTCTATCTGGACAAGGATAAAGGTTCTGAAGTGCAGTATGATGGCATATCCTGGAACGACATGCATAGCCGTTTCCGCGGCGAAGTCATCTACCAAGCCGAAACCGAGACTCATTTCCCTCAGTTGACTGTCGGTGATACACTGCTGTTTGCCGCTCACGCTCGAGCGCCGAGTAACCGCCTTCCCGGTGTTACACGCAACCAGTATGCCATGCATATGCGGGATGTGGTAATGGCGATGCTTGGCTTGACCCATACCATGAACACCAAGGTGGGCAATGAATTCATTCGAGGTGTATCTGGCGGGGAAAGAAAGCGGGTCAGTATCGCCGAAACCACTCTGTGTCGATGCCCTTTGCAGTGTTGGGACAACAGCACTCGTGGACTCGATAGCTCAACGGCACTGGAATTTGTCAAAAACATTCGCCTTTCCACTGACTATAGTGGATCCACCGCTATTGTAGCAATCTACCAAGCAAGTCAGTCCATTTACCACCTGTTTGACAAAGCAATTGTCCTCTACGAAGGCCACCAGATCTATTTCGGCAGTGCGTCCAATGCACGGTGCTTCTTCATTAAGATGGGGTTCCATTGTCCAGAGAGACAAACCACTGCGGACTTCCTCACTTCCCTCACCAGTCCTTCGGAACGCCTTGCTCGCCCCGGGTTTGAAGACTCCGTTCCACGTACACCCGATGAGTTCGCAGCACGCTGGAAAGAGAGCCCGGAGCGTAAACAGCTTCTTGCTGAGATTCAAGCAAATGAAGCCGACGACAACGTTGGAGAAACAAAGTTTGAGCAATTCAGTCGCTCTCGTGCAGCCGACAAGCCCAGGCTTACTCGTCCAGCCTCTCCATACACACTCTCATTTCCGATGCAAGTCCGTCTGTGCCTTTGGCGAGGCTTCTTGCGGCTCAAGGCAGACTCGGCTATGACGCTTGCCACGCTCGCTGGAAATATCAGCATGGCTCTGATCATTTCCAGTCTCTTCTTCGACATGCCTAACAATACCGACAGTTTCTACAAGCGTGGATGCATACTCTTCTTTGCCATCATGATCAGTGGCTTCGCCAGCTCACTTGAAATCATGATAATGTGGCAGCAACGGCCTATCGTGGAAAAGCATCGCAAGTACGCATTATACCATCCCTTGGCGGAAGCTATTAGTGCGTACATCGTGGAGCTTCCCTCAAAACTCTTGCTATCCGTGGTGTTCAATTTGATATTCTACTTCCTACCTCATCTCCGGCGCACTCCGGGCCATTTCTTCATATTTTTCCTCTTTTCGATAACGACGACCCTTGTGATGTCTAACATCTTCCGGTTTATCGGCGCAATCTCGCGGTCTGTGGCCCAAGCCATGCCTCCTGCTTCGGTCTTCATGCTTATCTTAGTCATTTACACCGGGTTTACTATTCCTGTCCGTGATATGCACCCTTGGTTCCGATGGCTCAACTACGTGAACCCGATTGCTGTAATTGATAACTTAGTTTTTGCGCGGTCACGCCAGAATATGCTAACACGAGATAGTACGCCTTTGAGGCGCTGATGATCAATGAGTTCGGCGGACGGTCCTTCCCTTGCTCGAATTTTGTCCCGGGTGGCGTGGACGTTTACAAAGATTCTCCTCCCAGCTCCAGGATATGTTCACAGAAGGGTGCTGTGGCAGGCCAAGATTTTATTGATGGAGAGACATACATCAACACCACTTACCAATACTACAGCCCACATTTGTGGCGAAACTTCGGGATTCTCTGCGCATTCTTCGTCGTCTTCTTTGGGCTGTACATCTCCTGTAGCGAGCTCATCCGGGCCAAACCATCCAAAGGTGAGGTTCTGGTGTTCCCGCGCGGCAAGATTCCTGCTTTTGCCAAGGGTGCTCGAAAAGATGATCCAGAGGAGGTCATTGCATCGGAGAAAGGCGCAGTTGCTAGCGAACCCCAGGACGCAACTGGAGCAATTGTTCGCCAAGCTTCTATCTTCCACTGGGAGAATGTGTGTTATGACATCAAGGTCAACGGGACTGAGCGACGCATCTTGAACAGCGTGGATGGTTGGGTCAAGCCCGGAACTCTGACAGCCTTGATGGGTGTCACTGGTGCAGGAAAGACATCCTTGCTCGACGTGTTGGCCGATCGTGTCACTATAGGCGTTGTCTCAGGAGAGATGCTTATCGATGGGCAGCTATGCGACGATTCTTTCCAGCGGAAGACGGGTTACGTACAGCAACAGGATCTGCATCTGGAGACTAGTACTGTTCGTGAAGCTCTAGTTTTTAGCGCTCTCCTACGCCAGCTTGCTACCATTTCTCACCAAGAAAAGATTGCATACGTCGAAGAGGTCATTCACATGCTCGGTATGGAAGAATATGCAGATGCCGTGGTCGGAGTTGTCGGGGAGGGTCTCAATGTGGAGCAGCGTAAGCGGTTGACTATCGGCGTGGAACTAGCTGCTAAGCCAGATTTGCTGCTGTTCTTTGATGAACCAACTTCCGGTCTGGATAGTCAAACTGCTTGGTCAATCTGTACCCTGATGCGCAACCTGGCCGACCACGGTCAGGCTGTACTGTGTACCATCCACCAACCTTCGGCAATGCTGATGCAGCAGTTCGACCGCCTATTGTTTCTCGCTAAAGGAGGACGCACAGTGTACTTTGGAGACCTTGGCCCGAATATGGAAACATTGATCACATACTTCGAAGACAAAGGGTCACTCAAGTGCCCACCAAACGCAAACCCGGCCGAATGGATGCTCGAGGTCATTGGTGCTGCGCCAGGCTCTCATGTGGATAGAGATTGGGCGGAACAATGGACCAACAGTGCCGAACGAACTGAGGTTCACAGGGAATTGGCTAAAATTAAAAATGAATTGTCCAACCGGCCTGTACCCCTGCGAGCTGCAGGATTTGGTGAATTCGCCATGCCAATTTGGTATCAGTTCTTCGTTTGTACCCAACGCACGTTTCAACAGTACTGGAGATCTCCGTCATATCTGTACGCCAAAGTTCTCACCTGCACTGCCCCGGTAAGGTATATTCCTCCCTTTTATTTGATTAGACTAACGGATATAGCCGCTCTTCCTCGGATTTACCTTCTGGCACATGTCTACCAGTCTTCAAGGGCTGCAGAATCAAATGTTTGCAATCTTCATGCTCCTCGTCATCTTCCCAGGTCTGGTCCAACAGATGATGCCATCCTTCGTCACGCAGCGTGCTTTGTATGAGGTACGTGAACGGCCATCCAAAACCTACTCGTGGAAGGCATTTATGATGGCCAGCATCCTCGTGGAGCTGACGTGGAATACCCTGATGTCCGTCCCAATCTTTTTCTGCTGGTACTACCCAATCGGGTTCTATCATAATGCACAGCCAACAAACGCAGTCCTCGAACGAAGCGGCATCATGTACCTCCTGGTTTTGCTGTTCATGATGTTCACGTCGACCTTCAGCTCCATGATGATTGCTGGAATTGAGGAACCCGATACTGGTAGCAATATTGCCCAGTTCATGTTCTCGCTTTGCTTGGTCTTTAACGGGTAAGTTATCTGCCGGCATTTCGTAGTTAATTGGTAATATTGCTGACTGAACCTGTAGGGTACTCGCTAATTCCTCTGAAATGCCTCATTTCTGGACCTGGATGAATCGTGTTTCGCCATTCACCTACTTTGTGTCCTCCGTGCTCTCCACAGGCCTGACTGGAACTTCAGTGGAATGTTCCAGCATTGAATGGCTCACTATCTCGCCTCCAGATGGCCAGACTTGCAGCCGTTATCTGGACCCCTACATCCAGGCTATGAAGGGCAAATTGCTCAATCCCGAGGCCTCGGTGGATTGCAAAATTTGCCCAATGACGAGAACAGACCAGTTCCTCGAGAGTCTCAACATGTCGTACTCGGATGTTGGGCGCAACATCGGTTTGCTGTTTGCCTACGTGGGGTTCAATATTATCGCGGCGTTCTTCATGTACTGGCTTTGTCGCGTGCCCAAGCATTGGTCGCGCAAATTCAAGCGTACCTAAAAAGATGCTCTTCTTTGTTTCTTCGGGTTGTTGGGGGGGGGGGGGGGGTTGTTCATTGCAGTTGATTTTGTTCCCAGGGGATTCCGTGCGTTTCAGCTTGGGGTTCATCGGAAATATTCTCTTGCTTTGTTGATCCTGGCACAGAGTGTTCTCTTGTTAAATGTATCTCATTAAATGTAGCCTATATTAACAAATGTTGTATTATTTTATAACCTTTTGCACGTTTAAGTATCCAGCATGGGCGAGGAACCGAACCACCCATCGTCCAGATTCCAGATAGGTGACGCTACTTGAGAATTCCGGTCCACCAGTAGATGACCACGGATCCTTTAACTCGAGATGTCACTCTTCTCTCCCGATAAATATTTCATTTTTGGCTTATGAGACAGCCATCTGTGTACGACGTAGCAAAGAAGCAGTCAACTTCGACCAGTACCTCCAATTTGGGAAGGACCTATAACTCTCTTATGTACATAGACAATTTTATATCAGCTCATTAAGGGTCCTACGGCAAGCTCCCGGACAATGGACCCGGGGAAATGAAGCCCAAATTCTCTCGTCGATCGTCTTGTACACGGGCATATCTGTAATATAGTTAGCATCGTAAAAGACATATCACTGAGCACTATCAAATGCACGTACTCCAACATAAGCCGGAACATATAGACATCCATATCATCATTCCGAAGTGTTTTAGCAGCCCACGACTGCCCTTCCTCGCCAATAGTTCGAGCAATCTCCTGTCCAGCAGGATCCTGCTCGAAGAAGCGCACGATCTCAGCGATTTCGGTGGTATCCTTGTTGAGCGGGACGTAGTGAAGCCATGGAATGAGCACGTTCTCGTGCCATTCTCGGAAAAAGGTCAGCTTGAGTGGAACGCTCTTGCTACGCATGAAGGCATAGAATCGCCCGCTGTAAGCGTGACCATCCATATCCAGTAAGTAGCGGTATTTCCACGCCTCGTTCTCGTCTTCTCGATCCAGGACATCAAAAAACCTCCTCTCTTCGTAACAGTCTTGTCCCTCACAGCCGGTAATATCAACAAAATGGGCGTTGAAATATCCGCTGAGCTCTGTTTGATTTGCCTTGCGAACTTTCCAGCCTTCCTCGCCACCGATGCTACAAGTGGACTCTGCCTTGCGTTCCAGGATATCATGCTCCTGCTTCCGTTCTAGTAATGCAACCACTCGTTGGCGCTGTAGATTGTGCCAGGACCCATTTTGACTGGATCCGCCGCTAGTGGTCCCTCGCCAGTAGATTTGCCCTCTCCTTGATTCCCATGGGATATCGGTTTCTGGCCTATAGCCTCCAACTCCCTCATAATACCATGGTGAGGGGACTGGGATATCTTGAAACGAGGATAGGTGTGACATTGAGAACATAGGGACTAGCTCGTTGGTGAGCTTGAGGGCATTGGGCCGCTCAAAGATTCCAAGGCTATGCTGCAGCGAGGGACTATTGCAAATATCGCTAGCCGCGGATTGGTTGAACACGAATCCTAAAGGTTCGATGGCGAAGGCTCTAGTATTGTCTGGGGCATTACCATCGAGGTCCATAGCTGGGCTGTGGGGTGGGCATGATAGTCGAGAATAAAGCCAGGTTTCTTGACGTGCAAGATTGAGAAACCTACTTGTGAAGACTTCTGGGATTGGTTCCGTAGAGATATTATTTCCCGAGGAATAATTTGATAACGAATTGCCGTTCAAGCACGCCTGAGCTTTATACCCTTTTGTTACCAGTCTGTGTAACTCCTCGTGAGGAACAACGACCCGCGGCTCATCGTGGACGTTGAATTCGAGATCCATATCAGGCAGCCATTGAGCAAATTTGTGAAACTGCTTCATCGTCGCCCTCCGTTGGAAATCTCCCTGGCCATTGCCTAGATGAATGGGCTCGCCATTCCGTATAGATATACCCATGACCATGTTGTCGAAGCCTAGGTCCTCTCTCACACGCGACCGAATTGTACTCGGGGAAAGTCCCCAGAAAGGGAGTAAAGAATGGTATATTGTGTCGTACTCGTCAATCAACATCGTGTTCCGCTGCTTTGCAAACTCGTACCACTTATCGAAGTGGGGAGGCGGCGGCATGTTATATCGTCGACGGTATTCTGTAACTGCCTGTTCGAATGATTTGGACTGGACCGCCAAAGTCTTATTGAATTCTTGGGAGGCAATGGACGCAAGTATGGAGATGGGATGATCGCACAAGCGCTCGTTGGGCATGCGTTTGAAGTTTGCTGGGAGTAACGGGAAACACCAAAAGAAGAACATCACTGTCGCTGCCGAAAAAGCCATGGTCCAAGTCCTCGTCCTCTTTGTCCTGTGGGCAAAGTAATAGTATGATTTCTCTCGAGCTCCCTCAAGAAGCTGGTAGTTGTGTTTGGTCCAGGGCCCTGCCCGAAGAGTATCGAGGAAAGCCATAGTGTTGGCTTGTAATGACTGGAACAATGTCATAAACCACAGTCGAGTTCGACGGATAGTGGGCAACATTATATTACAGTGGACATAGAAATTGGAGTACCTAGGAAGAGGAAATCGAATTCAATGACTTTTGAAGTTGGACCCTGAGGGCTATCAGCCATGGCTTAATTAGCGCCGGCGCTTGAATTAGCACCACAGCATTGGAACATTGCGAGATGGGGCCGAATTTCAAAGTCTTACTCTACCCAAATCTCTCTCTTTTACAACACTTTGTCCTTTTTGTTTCTTTCTGTACGTACAAAAGATCTAGCGCATTCGAATAGAACAAAACACTACTTTCCCAGCTCAGGATCCAAATACTTCGCCCTAATTGTAACGGAACCAAAGTACGTTGCTCCACTTACCCTGCATGATGCGTGGACGCCACTGGGAGTCATCACACAGGTGCATGAGGCTGACTCGCATCAGCGGCTAATGAGTGCTTTATAACAAACCAGGAGGAACTGAGGACGATCCTGGCTTCCCTGAGAGATTTTGACAAATTACTTCGGGGATCACCGTATGTTAGGCTTCGAGCACCCTAAGAGGAGAATTATTCGAAAAGTCTTCGCGTAATAGCGTAGTTTACATGGTCAAGCCGTATAGAAACATCGGATCAATGGGGGGACATCACAACGCTTGCAGGGTACTTCAATTTGTTGCAATACAATATCCAGCATTTAACTTACCAAACGACCAGTTAAGTTCGGATGCATAATTAGTGACATATCTCAGACAGTTCCGAAGGTGTAGGTGGCCAGATTCACGGCAGGGGGCGTCTCAGGAGAGTAGATCACATTAGATCGCTGGCCCCATTGAGGATTGTTAACAGAATCAATCCAGCCCTCAGGTTCAATCGCCAAGCAACCGTATTTCTCAACAAATCCGGCAGCTTCCTCATTTTCCGAGTTGCGCTCGACCTGGGAAGGCTTCACAGGAATTGTTCCATCCATGTTCAGGCAAGTAAAAAACTGTAAAGCAGGCTGGTTCGTGGCAACTTCCATACTAATTCCGGTGGTTCTAGAGTTCAATCGGAGAGCAGGAACAAGGGAGTCGTGGGCCGAGTACGTCGGGTCGCGGTCAACAATGAAGCAATTATCATATCCCACGTCACTGCCAACAAGACCTTGGGTATATTGGATGTCACGGCCGATGATTTTGCCAGTAGTAAAGTCCATAGATTGGTGATCGGTATCATCAACGGTAGAGATAGCGCCGTTGGGGACTTGAATACTGTCTGTGGCGATGAAGCGCTCAGACAGAGGCAGTTGCAGCCATGTATCATTGAGCACAGTCGACTCCTTGAACCCATTCAGGTTCCAGTAGATATGATTGGAGAGCATGATCGGGGTGGGGTGTGTGAGAGCCTGCGAAACCAACTTGGTCATCAGCCGGGGACGGCCCTGCGGGTTCCCCGCTGTGACCTCGGTGTCGACACTGTATGTAGCCTGCGTAATGACGTCGCCTGGGAAGCCTTGGAATGCGGCGTCGTAGAGCTGGAAGGTAACAGAGGAAGGTGTGGATGCAAGCACAGTCCAGTTCCGCTGATCATAGCCAATATCTCCACCATGCAGCGTATACAACCCCTTTTGATTCTTGGGAATGTGGTACTCGGTTCCATCTAGGGAGAAAGTGCCATTTTTGATACGGTTGGCAATCCGACCAAGGACAGCGCCGAAATAGGTATGGCTGGTCTGGGTGTCTTCCAGATACTGACGCGGATCGTCGTAGCCAACTACAATGTCTTGCACATTGCTTTTCCTGTCTGGGACTAGCAGCGAGATCAACCGCGCCCCATATGGAATGAACTTGGCCGTAATATTGCCGGCGGAGATTGTGAAGACCTTAAAGGGATCCACAGAGGATGCAGTGGGATGTGACTGACTGAGAGCGATCGGAACTAAAAGACATGTTGCAATGCACTGCTTAAGATGCATATTGCGATATTTGATGAAAGAATGTTCAGTAGGAATGGCACACGTAAACACAGGTAAATGGAAGAAAGAATTTAGAACATGCGAAGGAACTCCTTTTGAACCCTTTCAAATCAAGTCAATCGACAGACCCACCTTCTTGCAGTGTATACAACATAAAAAAAGAACACCGCTATCGGCATGTCGGAAACGGAAGAGAAAGGATCAGGGATACGTCGGCATCCCGAGTTGATCCTTTGAGAGGCATCCAAGGTCCCCCACAATAGCTTCATTGGTTGCAGCGGAACTTTCCTCAGGTGTCAGATCAATCTCACTCTAATTTTCACCTTAAATTTCACCGAGATTGTACCTTGCTACTTTCCATTCCTTGCTCTTGACGGTGCCATCGATCCAAAAAAGGACATTCGGGCATTCTCTGGAGGCTCTTCGGAGGTAGTGTCAAGGCAAATGCTAACCTCTTTTTAGTTAATGCCATAAGTTATGTAGAACTCTCACATTTTCCCCTTTTCAATCAAGATTTGCCCGGTTCCAGGCGAGAGAGACTGGCCCAGATGTAAAGATCGTTTACCTAATTAGGAAGGCTTACCAATCCGGAAGATGACACCTATTGTATATGCTCCGGTCCTATATCTCTAACTATTAGAAAGCACCACCATCCTTAAGTAAACAGTGGCCCATCACATTAATTGAAGATCGATGAACTAAATCTATATACTAGCAATTGCACTTATTTGATCGGCTCGTTGGAGTGTTATTGGGCTACAAGATTCTCTAACCGGTTTTGTATAAATTTGTCTTATATCTTAGGAATTCTCACGTGTACAACATAGAAAGTGATCTCAGTAACTGATTTCTATTGTCTCCACTCAATCCAAGCCCCCTAAGCCCTAAGCCCAAGTGAGCGAAGTATGTGGACCAAGTCTAGGAAGAAAAGAACGATTCACAAACCCGCAATTTATATCTCGAAAATATACTTGAACCATAAGGGTTCAAGACAAGTTTAGAATTTAGGAAGTGTAGATCCCATACGTAGACTATGACTTTACTTGTCAGTCTAATCCCAAGATTAATTCTTTATATTTTCTATAGAAAAATAAATAATGTTCAACACAGCCCCGCGCTATCCACTTGCAAATGGAGATTTCTCGGCGTAAGCTGACCTCCAGCCTAATGTTCCGAATCATCCTCTTCAATCTTAGCCGAGATTGGTTTGTTCGCCAGAGTTAACCTAAACCCGTGTCGACATGATCGTAGATAATCATGTGCTCTTCAGATCCCGCAGCAGGATGAGGGACCCAGCCATGAATATGCAGAGGGCCAAAATGACTGACAAGTTTCTTTTGTGCCTTGAAGCCAATATTCACAAAGTCTTGATCGCGGAATACCAGGGCACCTCTCTGCGCAGCAAGAAGAGCGAGTTCATCCAAACCAGCACCGTCAAGTTGAGAGAGCTGAACTCCATGGATCTCAGTTCCCACATAAGGAGATAATTCCCAGAGTTTTGTCGCTTTCTTCAGAAGATTAGGCAATTTGGGATCAGCGCGGTGACCAGGATCGAAATGCTCGACAGAACCGATATCCTCGACCTTCTCAAGAGGGTCGTAGAATGCTGTTGGACTACAGTTTAGTTGTCACTGACATTCAATCAGAAATTGGTTTTTATAGTCAAACTTAGGCATGTAATCGGGATACAGAGGGTCACCATTCTTGTTCTTCTGTCGTGTGATTGTGCCGGGCGTAATGACTGTAGTACTCGACATGTTGTTGTTGACTCAAACATGTTTCCATGGTCCAATGGTCGACTCAGGCCCGTGTTGTAGTCGAATCTGAAGTCGTACACCTGGGAGGTGGGATTGCGCTTCTTGATTTTAGCGGACACAGCCTGGCCTGATGAAAATCATCAGCTGATATCATGGTTGATAAAATTATTCCTTTGTATGGTGGAGCAAGCGAAAAGGGGTATAGGACTGTTCTAAATACATTGTGGTTCTCGAAGCATGACAGGAAACAAGACTTATGCAACAAGAATACAGAACCCCCGATATCAGTCCATAAAAACGCAAAGAATGCAAGGTATTCAATTGTAGTTGCAGTCAATAATTGCTTTCTACAGCGGCAGCGGGCGCAGATTTATTTGGTGCTAAGGAAGCTCGGAGGGCGGTTGGCGGGTTGCAGGAAGTTCAGATCTCGCTCGATTATCCACAGGCATCTCAAAGCGCGGTTTGTTCTCCCCTAGTGCTTCAGATGGTATTCCTGGTTGGCTGTCTGATGGAAGCTCCGATAACGCGTGTGCCTCGTAATAAGACGATGAGGCACCAGTTAGCGGAGAGTCTGAATGGTTGCTTGGGTCGTCAGGTTCCAGATGGGACTTTTCTCCTTTGGCGGATGCTTGCGATCGGCGACGACGAATTATAAGCCAGATTATCCCAGCAATGAGAGCGAATGCGCAAACACCACCTACCACGCCTCCAGCGATCCCTTTTGCGTCTGGAGTGCTTTGTTTGGCTGCGGATATAGGTGTTGTCGAGGAGGTATTAGTCGTCGAAGGGGTGGTTGTTACCGAGGGGGCCGTTGTTGATGAATACGATGAGGCTGATGTTGAAGTCGATTCTATCGATGATTTATGTCAGATATAAATATTGAGTCAGGGAGAGGAAAGAGAAGAAATCAAAGTGTTCAGAATATATGCACACCAGATAGTACCCACCAGTAGCCATTTTTATGATGCTCAATGAGCGCATAATAGTATTGTCAAAGGTGCTATCCTCTGCACAGCCGTAAAACCCGTCTGTCGCGGTTTCTGTGCTCGTGAAGCCTATTTGGTCGGTCTCACAGCAAAAGAACCCGTTCGCCTGGTAGAGATTCCACGTATCATTTGAACACTGACTGAATGCCGGCCCATTCATATTTGCTGGGTTGCATTGTGTATTCTCATTTAAATCTGCACAATCTGTATCTCCTGGGCAACATGGGTACCAGTCACCCCATGTTTTACCACATAGTGTTTCCGAAGATGGGCAGGTGCCATTTCGGCGAATAGCATACCCTTGCTTAGACATTCAGACTGTACAACATAGAGGCACACTGTAACAAGATCTCAAGATATGGTGGACGATTTAGAAAACAAACGGGGAAGGTTCTGTCATGCTGAGAGAAAAAAAAAGTAGAAAAGGGGGAAATGAACCGGGATCTAGGGGGTAGTGCACCAATAATTTATGTCCAGTCACCGTAGGGCACAGGTAGACTCGACAAATCCATACGATGGATGTGATTGCCTCTTTAATAAGGATCTGCATGCTAATAAGGGGACCAACCGCATTAGGCACACGGCCCTCACAAGGCTCCGGGTTTAACTTTTAGCTTCAAACTTATCAGCCTCACCCGTGATCTCCTAGTTCCAGCCAGTGATTATTGTGGAAACCTATGTTCTATTCACACAAAGCAAAGCACTTGAAAGTCGCTTTGTTGGTCGCATCAAGGTAGGAATTGATAATAGGGCCGTCCGAAGCCCTTGGATTATGTTGAATGACGTTAAGACAGCCTATGTCCACCTGAAAAACCAGGGACGCATCTAAGGCGCCGAAATGTGAGTCGAAAAAGTATGTTGTACAAAGCCTTGCGATCAGGACAAGGTGGAATTTGCTCCAATTGGACGTGCTCGTTATTCCCCGTGTCCCAGTTAAGTTACCATCTAGGGGTCTCTTGATATTTCAATACCAGAAGTACGACTGTCGTAACATAGTTTTGCTAGCTTAATACGTATTCCGGAATTTCTACATGTTCCACTCTTGTTTTTTGGCAATGCGTATTTTTTTTAGAACACGTATTAAAGTGAATTCTACGTATTGACTTTGCCTACCAGTATTTCTAGGGTATTCACTGAGTATTACATTTATTATATAATATTTTTTATAGTATTAGAAGGGCATTGAATGTATCGTCTAGTATTATCTAAGGTTTCAATATCTATTGTCTATACTCCTATCACTATCCTTACTACTGCTCCTACGTCCCCTTATAGACGCTTATATTCGGATTTAGACTATTTCCGAAATCCGAAGTGCTATACGCGCTTCTATATCGGTATGCCTTAGTTCTTATCTCCGAATAATCGTATTTATTATAGTGTTTGTTAGTTAAGGGTACCCAAGGACGTGCTCAGCTTTACTCAGTGATCAAAAAGCGGCAAGAGGTGAGCACTTGAACGGAAAGGGAAAGACATAAGTATACAGCCTCCTATGCAGAGACAGCCCTGCGAAAGATGGCTATGTGTGGATTTTTGTCCTTTTCAAGTTGCGGGACTATGCAAATTCCTATTGGTCATTTCACGTTGCTCGATCACTCCTATTTGAAATGACACTAGATGCTTTGTTTCGAAACTCGTGCAGCCAAGGTAGAGTGTCTCCCATTATAATCGATGAAGATGCGACTTTGCTTCTCTTGCGTGCTGTGTAAACCGGGTGTGATGATGCGATTGAACATGTTTTGAGTTCATTCAATGTTCCCGTTAATTCCCCTTTAGACAGAAATGGGCGAACAGCACTACACTTGGCTACGATGGGCACGTTCAAGGGCCCAGTTCTACGTCTCTTTCAATCCGCTGATATCAATGTGGCCTCTCGAGATGTCAACATGGAGACACCTTTAGTTCTTGCTTTTGAGAGACGGAATTTTCCGGCGGTGCAAGCCTTTTTGGACTTCAAATCGGTGTCTAACAAAACCAATCCTTTAATCATTGACCTTCTACCACAAGCCGTTCAAGTATTGAATGCCCAAGACTCTCAATTTGCCCTCAAGATCCTACATTCAGCAGTGGTCAATGACGATGAGGCGCTAGTTGGCATTTTTTGCATCCAGTCCAGTCAATATCACTTCAGTGACAATGGTGTGGAGTATCATTCACGCAGCAGCAATCCGAGGTAACAGGTCAATCATTCAACTCATGTTAGATCCTGTCAGAACACCCTACCTCGATGATAAGACAACACTTATGTATGATCCATGCCATGTGGTCGCCGAGGCTAGCGATGAATATCTTACCAAGATCTTCCTTTACTCTGGAAAGATAAATGCGAAGTCCCGTGACGGATGTGGCTAGACGCCCCTTTATAGAGTCACTAAGCGATATAGCGGGAGAAGTGAACATATGTCTCTCAAGCACATCCTCCTCCTGGAGGAAACAGAGGCCGCCAACCAGGGGGTCTTACGTGGCCAGACGCCGCTACACATAGCTACCCCGGACGGTGACCTAGGAACTGCGCCTTCTGTTGCATTACGGCGCACAACCTCGGTTGGCCGATGATCAAGAATGTATAACCCTGCATTACGCAGTTGAGAACAGCTATCTCAACGTGGTCCGCTCTCTTATCCGCGTTGACGAGATGTCTGTGAATAGCCGTGACCCATAGAAAAGGACTCCTCTGCATATTGCCGCTTTCAAGGGCCTGGCAGGCATTGTGTCTGAAATCTTGAATATTCCGAATGTAGAAGTCCAAGCCTCGGATTTGAAGCATGGTACTCCTTTATTATATGCTATAGAAAATCGTCACGCATCTATTGCAGAGATGTTGTATGATTGCGGGACAAAGGAGGCTTGGAGTACCTGATATTTGGATATTTGAATGTTCTTGAATTTAACTTAGCACCGATTAAGCACTCTCTTAATTTCTAGACAACTAAACGATCACCTATATTCTAGGCACAACTCCAATAAGGGGAAATATACTCGGATTGGCTTTTCTATTGAATTTTTATGGAGCTAGAGCTACTATATATATACACTCTCTAATCGATTTACACATGTTTTTAGAATATTTTGATTAAGATATGCTGAATTCATGCCCATCCACTCACTATATATTTCCGGCAGAACGTCAACATATGTCCTAATAACAACCATCAGGTACAAATTGACCATTTAGTAAATAACCCTCCTCTTTTACATGTACTGAATCTGAATATCACAAATATTGCATCTATAAAATATATGCAAAGTAGACCGCAACCGACCCCGATTGGGGTGTCCCCGCTTATCGACGCGGAATCAACAACTTCCTTCTCCAATCCCCGCGAACTCCATGCCAACACTTACTTTTGGTGATTTAAACAACTTCAATTATACACTTCGTCCACACAATTAGCCGGAATACATCGAGGCATACCAATAGCGCTCTCCGCCCCTTACTTCTCCGGCCACGCTGTCCGTACGAGCGCCACACTCACCATGTACGCTCCATCTGTTCATTGAATCGAACAGCAACTAACATGCCTTCCAACACTAGGGGCGTCTTCTCCCTGATCATTATCAACAAAGCCGGTGGTTTGATATACCAGCGCGAGTTCCAGTCCGGCCTGCGCAACCTCTCCACAAATGACTACCTCGTCCTAGCTGGCACCTTTCATGGGTAAGCTGCCAACAACATTGACTCCCCTGGAACAGCTACCTGACTTGGATTCTATAGTGTTCACGCAATCACCCGCTCCATTACGCCGAAAATTCCCATCTCTCAACCAGCTGCCTCCCCCACAACCTCTTCAGCGGGCACCACTGCTCCTGCGACATCCGGTTACTCCTACCCAAACCCCGGTGTACCAGTCTCCGGCTTGGATTACCTCGAGACCGACAAGTTTCGATTGACCTGTTTCCAGACCCTGACGGGGACAAAATTCTTGTTGTTCACGGATCCCTTAACTGGTAGCGTGGATACAATCATCCAGAAAATCTACGAGCTCTATGCGGACTATGTGATGAAAAATCCATTCTATCAGATTGAAATGCCAGTGCGATGCGAGGCATTCGATCGGCATCTGGGGGCGTGGCTGAGGGGGAGGGCATAGCCCCGTCCGACCACGCAGAAAGGGAATAGACATCATGACTTTACGAACTAGATACGTTTTGTTCCTGTACTTGTGTCCGGATACACTCCGTCTCGTATAATACCAAATCACATAATATATTGCCCTTGCACACACTGTAGAACGTGCCCGAAGGTCGACTCTCGAGAATACAGGACAAAAGCACAAGTAAACGCCGGGTATGCATCAGTCATATTCGAATATCCGGACCTTACGCGGTGTCCATCTTGTCCTCGTCCTTCTTATCTTTGTCACTGCTGGACTCACCGTGGCCCTCCTCGGGGATATTGCCCAGTTGCGTCTTGCCCTCTTGTTCTTCCCGATCGCGCTTCTCCTTCTCCTGTCGGTTCTTCTCGTCCTCCATCGATAGACGCAGGGCGAATGCCAGCTCGGGGTCATTTTCGGCGGCGTCATCAAATCCAAACCCACTAGCCTCGCCCTCGCCGCCGCCTCCGCCGACCTCGGCATCCTCGCCAGCTAGGATCGGGGTCAGCTGCAGCTGATCGCTGAGAAGATGGGGTCCGGGTGGGATGATGGCGAGGTGGGAACCATCGCCGCTCTTGACATTCTCAACGAAAGCCTCGAGCTTCTTGGTCTGATCGGATTCCAAATCTCCGAAAGCTACCACATCGATCGACACGTTGTTCTTCTTCATCTTCTTTGCGAGCTTCACGAGGGTCTTTTCATCTTCTTCGATGGGCGAACAGGAGAATACGATGATGCGTTGACGCTGAGACTTTTCCATACGGTGCTTGAGTGCCAACTAAAATACCATGGATATTAGTTATTGAGAGCCCGGGCCTCGGATATTGGCTGGAAGAACGTACCGCTGCAACCTGGATGGTCGAGCTGAGATGAGATGTGCCGTGGATCTTTGTTCGGTGCAGACCAGCGAGGATTGCGCCAAACTCGGGTGTGAAGGTTGACAACACTTCGGGGCCCTTTCCGCCCATGCTCATAAGGCCGACAGCTGACTGAGCGTTTACACGCATCTTTGCATTGTGGATGATGCTAACGGCATCGACTTGAGATTGCCACCGGGTTGTTCTGTAACCATTAGATGCCAATCATAGATGCAAATATAGTACCATCGGATATACTCACGTGTAGTCTCCATTGCGACTGCTTTCGCTGTTGTCGACACTGTAGCTTGGAGTCAGCAGAGTAAGCTAATAGAGGGGATGAGGATTGACGGACATGATCATAGTAGCTTCCAGCGTCATGATGGCGGAGTCTAAAGGAATTAACGATGTAAAAAAGGACAGAACAGAGAGTGATTAGGAGATCAGCGTATGGGAGATGAAGACGGATGACGAAGGCGAGGTGGAAGCTCTGTATTCTGCCACTGTTCGCCGCCCGTCAGGCTGTTTGTTGTGGTCCTCCTTGCTCCGCACCTTAACTTTAGCCCTTGTACTTCGACACATCTCAAGTCTATATCCCTTGAACTCCGCACAATGCCTGCTTTTAAACGCAAGTCGGACGCTATGGACGTCACCCCTACGGGTAGTCCTACTAAAAAGATGCGCTTGACGCAGCATCAGAAACAGGCGCTGATGGACAATCTACAACTTGAAAGTGGGTTGAATTGTGGGTTTACAGAGTGAACACAGCACTAATTTTTGCCACAGTCACTGAGCGGGCACGTAAGCTTCGTGCTCAATATGCCCTCCAAGCAAATGACCTCCGGGCGCGCATTGAGCGACGCGTTAATCGGATCCCAGTCTCACTACGCAAGGCTAATATTGGCGAGCTCCTCGAAAAGCACAATGCCGCCACGAACAAACAACAAGTTGCGTCGCCTTCTCGAAAATACTCCCCCGTCAAGGTGTCGCGTAATATCACAAGCATCTCCGTAGACCCAGAAACCTCTACCACACGCGACGGTAGAGCTCGGAGGGGAAGGTACGATATACCAAAACCCAATTTAGCACTCTGACTAACAGAATGTATAGCCACGATGGCCACTTCTCTGACAAAGAGAATGCCCCTGCCGGTCGCGAGCCCGAACTCAAGAACCCCAAGCGTCGCGTGAAGCCAGCCGGACCAGGCGGGGCCTCGCGCATGGCATCTCAGGAAGTACGGGGCAACGAGAACCGCATTTTGTCTCCCAAGTCCAACAATTCCCGAACATACCCTCACTCGCCCTTCCGTGCATCCCCTGAGAAGGGTCAACCCTCATACCTGGCGCGTCCTACCTCGCCGTTAAAACCGTCCAGTCCGTTGCGGTCACGCGGCCACACTGTGTCTGCAGTCAAGGACCAACGGCCTCCTTCGCAGGCTCAGAGGACTGCCACCCGTGCCGCTACAGGACCCAAGACTATTCGATCACCTTTGTCGCGGCCAGCGACCCGACAAGGCGAGCGCAAGAATAGCACAGGGTCTACTGCGTCTTCGGGCACAACAGTAACCAAGTCCACACGGACTGGTACTGGCGCAAGAAAGGCCACCACGGCATCTACTGCAGCTGCCAAGAGGCCGGCTTCTCGCGCCCAGGCGGCATCAATGGCTGTCAAGAATACCCCCACTACTGCTGCAATGCGCAAAACTACTGCTCCGGCTATGACTGAAACTGCGACTCGGACTCGAGCGCTGCGCAAGCGGATTTAGAACTTTTTACATGAACGCATAGATACGCGTTTGCTGTTTTAGGAGTTGGTTGGGATTCTGTTTCTTTGAGCGTGGGTGATTGCAGACTGCAATGAACAATTTGAGCATAGGTGCTGTCTTTCATGTTTGATTCTTCGGCGTGATATCATAATAGGTGTTCTCCCTTCTCGAGCCGGGTATACATTCATAGCCCGTCTTGATCGGTCTGTGTGTAACCGGTCTGAAACAACGCCTTGGGGCAAATATGAAACCCTTGTCGTCAATTAATTGGACTACTTTTGCTCCTCACCACTGTTCGCGAGTTTGTCACGTCTTAGTCATTTTAGAATGGAGATCATCCGGGAGAGTGAAACCTTCGAAACTGTTGACGGCAAACTCAAAGTTTTGTTGGAAGAATCTCGTCGTACGACAAGACGGCATCGTATACTACGGGACATGGAACGATCAATTTTCAAAATATACCGATATCAGTCAGTTTAAGAAGTTGAGAACAATCAACACATACGAAAGAGGGCCCAAATTCCAGGAAACATGGGCTGTGGCATAGGAAGACTGTTACCTGAAAGCCCTAGGCTGAACCGATTTCCTGTATTCAGAGCTGGAGTACGATATTCAACGCGAGCTTGAAGTGTGTGAAGTGCTTCGCAGACATGCACATCCAAATATTGCTACTTATTGCGGCTGTCGAGAGGAGAATGGTTGGGCCACTGGTCTTTGCTTCAAGTAATATAAGGAAACCTTGTCCAGGGAGGTCAATCCTAGATATCTGAACAAGAATCAGTTCCGCGCCAGTGGTCGTGAGCGAGTCGGTGATTCTCTTAGAGAGAACTTCTACGGGATTTTGGAGGGAATCAAACACCTTAATTCTCTTAGCCTGGTGCATAATGATATCAATCCTTCCAATATCATGCTAGACGAGCATAGCATCCGGATAATTGAAAGACTGAGGGGTCTTTGGAGACCCGCGGAGCTGGACAGATGGACGGTTGGCATGACACAGAGAATGGGCTTGTATTGGAGAAGAATGATCTTGATGCCCTTAAACAGTTAAAGACTTAGCTGTTTGGTTCTATCAATGATTCGTATTTGTTCCAGGAGGATCGATTGAGCTTTCCATAGCGAAGTATGACGGTGATTTATTTATTGTATACAGCAAAACTATTGAGCCCTCTAATTTTACATTGTTCGAGCTACGTAGGGTAACTATATAAGAACAAGGTCGTCATGCGCATCAAATAAAGAGTTGAAGCGCCGAGAATCAAACTATAGAAATACGAAGTGAGTGTATTATTCAGGACTTATCCACATGCAAGGCTCTACAGTACAAGTACCTCTCTCAGGCAACTACAAGCACAGATATCATGGCAATCGTGTTGATTGAACAAATAAGAAAGGAAATAAAAGTTCCCTGGCTCTTGTTAAGCAAAAGGCCAGGGGAGGGAAGAATCAGAGAATGAAAGGAAAAAAAAAAGGGTCTAGGTATAGCCGTAGCCTGGCCCACAAAAAGAATGAGCATGCTCAGAAATCAAAAGCGAGAGAGAATGGCAAAGAAAACAGGACATTTATGCCCAGAGGGACAGGTATGGGTATGGCTGATCCCTAGAATCAGATGCAAATGAACAAAGATAAAAAAAAAGTGAGACATCCCAGCCACTATAGAGATAGAGAGAAAACAGAAACCGATCAACGACCTAGGTGCTTGTTGATCACTTTTGGGGGATTTTCATAGAAGGAAAAAAGAAAAAGGGTAAACTCCGTCAACCAGCCCTGTCACTCGACAAAAAAGAAAAGGAACAGAACGCTAAGAAGGTCCCAAGAAACAAGAAACGAAAACACTCCACGGAGATTGAATCAAATGGATGGATGCATGTCGAGGTCGGATGATGATGTATCGCAGTATTGCAGCTGTGCAGGAGTATAAGGAGATCCAGTCTATCCAGTAACACCCATGGCACCTGCACTCGGACGCGGCCTGTAGGCCACATTTGATGATTGGCCATCAGGTGCCCCTGCAATTGGCTGGCTACTGTTGCTGGTGCTGCGGTCACGGTGATACGCTGCTGGGGGAGGAGGACCGAGATCAGCTCCAGCCTGGGGGTTGGTGCTTGCCGAGTGAGAGTGTCCGGCGGGCCCGGGCACATGGCGAACTGAACTTTGCATCTGCCAGGCTGCATCCTGAGATGGATCAGTCTCAATACGCGCGGAGGCTGGAGTGCTGTTGGTTCGGTTGGGGGTGGTGATCGTAAATGTCTCGCCACCGTTCTCCGGTCTCTGTGAGAAGCTGCCTCGAGCAATATCGCCATATCGTTTAAGGATTTCCTTGGTTGTCACTTCGGCATTCTCCCTGAAAAGGGTTGGATCACCTAAGACCGATTGTAGGTCTTCTGGGATCTATTGATAGAGTCAGTATGAGTATGGGAAGACCTCAACCTGGGCGACTTACCTCGCAGAACACGTCGTTATACGCGATCAGGGCATTGACGGCTTCAATGGACAAGAAGCTCTCCTCAACTGTGCTGTTTTTGGCATTGGGGTAAAGGATATTGGGCGTGATGACAGTCGCAAGGTTGTGAATGTCCATCTTGCTTCCGGACTCTTCATCCACATGCGAGAAGGATGATGTCCAGTTCAAAAAGGCAAACAGGACTTCCATTGTATCACGGTGGGCTTTGGGGAGTAGACAACATGTTAAGTGAAGTAGTCGCCTCTGTTTCTCTGCGTCATCCATTTCTGCGACACAGGTTAGCATTGCACAAGTAGACCGATAACCATAACATCAAAACTTACTTTGTGAGATGACAAATAGTCTGTGCAGCTTGAAAGTCAAGAGCGGGTCGGGCATCTCGCGGAGGAACTTTTTCAAGAGAGCTGCGATCTGCACAGGAGTTTCCTTTGTCAAATCAACTTGCTCATACTTGGTGTCGATTAGCTCCGCGGTATCCTTCAATCGGCGGATGTTACCGTTCTTTCGGAAGACACCCTCGACAGACATGTCCATCTGCCGCATAGCGCAAACAGAATCATCGACCAACGTCGGGATGCGGAGCGCACCAGGGCCAACACCGTGACTTGACTCTGTGCCCTCCTTCTCGACCAAATAATCTAGACCGACACCGAAGACACCCTTCTTCTTATTACCCTTCTTGTTGTCTTTAAAGGCACGACCGAAGATGTTCCATATGGTAGGTTTGCGAGACTCGATAAGAGAAAGTAGCTCCTCCATGCTGAAATAACCCTCCACCAAGGGTTCCATCTGTAGCACAGCAACGTGGCGAACGATGAAATATTCCAAAGCAGTTAGTTCCGAGAAGTACCGCTTGGTTCGAGTTGGCTCCATTAAGGCCTCCAAATTTCCACTCGATACTCCCCGTTGGTGGCCATGGTTGTACCTGGCCATCGGTTCTGTCCCCCCAATGAGCTTCGTACCAGCATGCCTGTAGGCATTAGGTCGCTGCTCCTTGGCTTGCTCAGCCGCGACAATACGGGGGATGTCATCTAGCGTCAGAGCATCCTGAGCCCCGAAAGTCAGATCTGTAACGGTCTCGCCATTGGCATCCCGTTCTTCCACAATCTGGAAACCGTGGCCCCTCGGGTCACTGCCATCATTGCCAGATGATCCCGGTCGGGCACTTCTGCCTTCTGGCCCATTGATAATTCTGGATGCGCGGGCGTGCTTGTATGTTGTGGATAGAGTTCGCTCGTTGCGAATAGAGCGTAGCCGACGCATCTCACCGACGGTCTGCTCAAGGGATGTTTCTTCGAAGCCATCTCGCGGGGCACCGCCATATGACTGGCGAACCTGGCGTGACATTCGACGGCCGTCTTTGTTGTTATGATCATTAAGGTTGGGGTCGTCTGAGGCGAAGCAAGTTAGACAAACTGCCGGCGGGATGGGGGTAAGGTAAAAGAGTCCTACCTGAAGTATGAGGCAAGGTTCCCCCGGATCGAAGCACGGCGAGAAGCCGTGCGAGGGCCACTTTCAGTAAGAAAACAAATTGTTGCAATTTTGAAACTTGAGTGAAACCACCCGTCACAGCAGGGCCAAGTTGCATCTGATGGGCGCAAGCGCCGCAGTAGACTTGTTCCTCGCTACTGCTCCACAATGCGTCTTGGATATCAGCGGTCAAGTCCTTCTCACATGATTTGCATGAAAGATGAGGCGGCTTGATGTGCCAACGACTCTGTCCCAATTGAACACATTCGTCGTCAATCGGTTCTTTGCAGGCGATGCAACAATCTGAAAGTTGATCGGCCAAACCTTCCACTCCGGCCATCAGGTCGATTGGTGTATCATCATCCTCGCGCTCGGCTAATGACTCCAGATCACGGAGGTGCTCCAGGAAGTTTTGTAACCCGTCTGGCGCAGATTTCTCGCGTTCAAGTTTGAGTGCACCTTGTAGACCGATGCGGATAAGGAGTTTCAGGTAGTGAGCGAGACCAGTCACTAGGGACAGAAGTTCCTGGGTGACGCCGAGTTTGCGTACTCCGGTTTCCTGAGTTTTCGATAGGAGGGCAAAGAAAGCGACAATCTTTTTACAAAGAAGTTTGGCCTCGCGGCCATAGGAAAGTTCTGGGTTGGAAGAATCAGCGATCGCTCCCGACGATATGAAATCAGCTGCGCGAGACTTACCTTTTAACTCGTGCGATTTGATATAATCCGCTAACTGATCAACTGCACCGAAGAGGATTTCGACATGTTCAATGAAGCGCTTGGCCACGAGAACACCATCGATGTAAGCGCCATTGCTCACATGAAGCAGCATATCTGAGATGCAAGCGGCGGATGATTCTTCAAAGGTGGAGAGGGTGTTCCAAATATTAAAGACCTTCTCTTCCATAATATCTTCTTCGTCGCGGATATGCTTGCGCTCCTCTTCGCTAGCATCCTCATCCACCGGCGGAGGCTCCCATGTTTGACCAGCAGGGGATAACCGGACATTCCAGAACTTGTGGATCATATAACATTCGGGGTGCCAGTGTTGATTTTGACCGTTACGGAAGATCTCGACAAACTGTTTTAGGATTGCAGTGTGGCATCCATGGCATCTCTGGGCAAACTGGGTTGAATAGTGAAAGTGGCAGTACACCTTGCTCTCGTGCTCATAGTAAGAGTCTTGAGCACCGAAGACGGTCGGACAAACGGAGCAGGTAAAGTGCTCAATATGATACTTCCGGTCTAACGCTGTAATGTATGATCCACGTAGTGCGCCGCCGCACTCATGGCATAGGAGGCTGAGTCGTCTAAAGTAATCGGTTTCGCAAAGCGGAAATTGGCAACTTGAATCTTCTGAATCGACGGGGAAAAACTTCGAAGCAACGATCTCGCCACAGTCCTGATAGAAGTATGAAAGTTAGGAAAGACCACTCAAAGGTTAGCCAGAAAAAGCAACTTACTTCACACTTGAAACACTCCAGATGAAAAGTACCGCCCAACGCCCGCACAAACTGACCAGTGAGAGATTCACCACACTTTTGACACAGGCGGGATGAGCCGCCGGGGGACTTATTTGGACGCCCGTTCACTCGTGAGCGATCTCGGGGGGTCGAACGGTCGCGGAAGCCAGCCTGGTCAGGACCCAGGGCACGACTTGAGCGTCCACCATCCTCCTGGTTCACCGGAGTGATTGGGCTTGGGCCTCCCGTTCGTGTTGAGGGTGAATCGAATGGAATCAAACTGTCTTCGGGAGATGTAGGTGTGTTTTTCGTGTAGTTAGCCCCGTAGCCAGAGGTGTCAACAGTGGGACGGCCGCTGGGGTTACCAGCGACCAGGCTGGCTGGGAGTCCACCGGGGGGCATCTTGGTCCCCCGTCAGCAGAAATATGGTGGGGTTTGTTGGGCTGAATCACGCCGAACGCTGCATGCAAAGAATGGATAGTAAGGAACGGGCGAGGCGACGTGGTAAATGAGATTGATGAAAAGGGTTAAATTGAAGATGCAACGCGGTTACAGATTGGCGGGAAATTGAAGGTAGGCTGGGCGCGTACGGTTGAGAGTCTGATTCTTAAATTAGAATTCCATGCCTAGGGTGGTTTCCCCGGGGTCACTGTTGTTCCCTAGAGTATACTCACTCTCACGCCATGTAAAGACACGTGGGGGTGGCCGATGGAGTAGTGACGGAGTTTGCGCGCAGAATCACTGTGATCGAATTGGGAAGGTATAGAAGACGATTACTCTGAACGAAGGGTCTGAAAGCGCGCAGGCTAGTGGACGCGGGGGCCGGTTTTCGAGGGGATCGGGAGCTTTCAAGGTGAGACCAACAGAGGCGCGGATTATCGGGCGGCAATCATCCCAAACTAAACCGGCAAATTCCAGGACTCCAAGAACCAGATAGGAAAAAAAAATTAAGGTGCAAGGGCGAGGGGAAAAGAAGTGGGCTGGGGAGGAATGGAGATGGAGATGGCTTGAGTGCCCCCCCCCCCTAATATTAGTTTGGGACCCTGTGGTCACGTGGTCTATACAATTTCCATTTCTACTGAGATATGGAGGGATTACTAGGATATTTGGGATATTTTGGATATCATTGAAGGATATTTAAGATCCAATTAAATCGGTTTAAATCAAAATACCTGGGAAATATCAGCATTGCACGGTGTACTGTTGGTATGTAGAAAGTGTACTCCTACTCCGTACCCGCCCCATGTGCCATCAGTGTGCTTTTTATAGAACATACTGCAGATTAGTTTCTTGATTTTCGTATTAATTTGCTTTAAGGAGTGATATTTCGTTTGTATGGAGGTATATTTCCCCCTTTTCTCGAGTGTTATAGTCGTAATAGATAGGACCTTAAATAACATCAAAGGTCTATTTATACAGTAGGGTTTTCTGTCGGCTTGTATGGTTCACGGATTTGATATCTTCAGGATATAAATTACAACACTCAGAAAGATTGAACATTGAATCCAACAGGTAAATACACCATACAGAGGTAGTATCTATGTGTACAAAACAATCCAATTTTTTGTAATTCTCAAAGTTTCTAGGGAGACCTATGGAATAAGCATCTCATCAGACTGATCATTACATATATTTATGTAGACTGACATAGGATGTCGACGTGATTACCCGTACAAGTGGAAAGTGGGAGGAGGCTGGCAAGATGACGTGGGTAAACAAAAACCAAAATAGGAAAAAAAAAAGAGAAAGAGAAGATATATGATATGAATACAAGAAATAAGATAAACTCCTAAGAAGAAAGAAGGGGGAAAAGGATAGAAAACAAAAAAACAAAAAACAAGTACAAAAAAGAACAAGACAAAGGTTTGAAGAGACAAACTTGTCCTTGCGGGTTGATTTCACCCAACTTGGTTTTGCCTTCTTTACCTCCTCTTCCTTTAAGGACACCCTGCTTTTGATAAACTTCAGTTTTTCAAAGCTCCTTCCACTCTCTTCCCTCTACAGTACACGGGTGGACGCATGATCGGCTCAACATAGACGTTGCAAGATGGGGGACCAGTGTACGCTGCGCCTCGTCCGAGTAGGTGCCTTTCTAACCATCTATTTGGGTCAATTCCAAAGTTCCAAGGTTACCCGGACTAATCACTAATCTCCGCATTTCTTCGTCAGGAACTGAGACAGGTTGAGCGGAGTGAGCAACTTGGTATGAGATCTCCGTACCCGAGCTTTTTGACACTTGAAGTCACTCTACACTCACATGCTGACCTCGGCACAGCTTTCACTGTCCGTTATGAGGAAAGCAACATTCGAGATATCCAAGCCCTCATCATCGGACCCCCAGGCACCCCATACGAACTGGGCTTTTATGAGGTAAGAGCCACCCTATCCAAGACTGACCCGAGCTCGCTTCTTTGAACTATGGCTAACCAATTGTAATCGTCTACCAGTTCTCAATCAAAATCCCGTCAGGTAAGATGGTCTTCTATCTCGTAGCAGACATTTGCTAAATCACAACATAGATTACCCAGCAAATCCGCCGGTAGTGAAAATCCGGACAACCAACAGGGGCCGGACTCGCTTTGGTCCTAATCTGTATGCCAATGGCAAGGTCTGCTTGTAAATGCGCCCTGGGGACTATTGAATTTATGGAGAGCCTGATACTAATATTTCTCAGGTCGATCTTGGGGTAAGCTTGTCTAACAACATGGATGGCATTTATGGAGCGCTGAACCTCGTAACAGAACTTGGCATGGTTCTCGGGGTGAGCAATGGTCACCGGCGCAGGGACTCGAATCCGTTATGCTGTCAATCCAGAGCCTCTTATCCTCAAACCCATATACGCTGGAACCCGGATTTGAGGGAAACGAAAGGGCGAATGACACAGAAAACATGGAGATCTACAAATCCAAGGTGGGATCCGATATTCCCAGAATAAGCCTCGCAATGCTCACATCTATACCAGATCCGCCATGAAAATTTACGACTGGCAGTCATCACACCTCTTGAACAAGCCTTTCAAACTTCGTCCCCTCCTCGCCGAGTGGCGCTAAGGGTCTGTCACGAATCGAGCGCGGAAGAAGATAGTGATGTCGAACTAGAACCCGAAGCTGGATTGTTGGCTCAAAGCAAGTTCCACGACTTCTGCAAGCGACGCTTCCTGTGGTACCTTGAGTTCTACCAAAACGCCATTGAGAAAGGTATCGCGGACGAGGCACGCAGACAAGGAACGCCATTCGTCCAAATGCCGTTTGAAGGCTATGGTAATACCATGAGCGGAGAATGGAACTACATCGACCTACAAACCCGTTTGTTGGCTCTTCGAGACCGATTGATGGAAGAGACCTACAACTGGCCCGTCGAGGGTCTTGCTCTGGTCAAGGAGGATGCCGGGATTGCAGTTAAACTGGCCGGCCAGCATGAGCAGATTGCTGCAGAAATGAACTCTTGTCCTCAAGTCATTGATCTGTCGCTGGTTGATGACAACCCGTTCGTCTGGAGACTCACCTATGTTGGTCGCAACGAGTCCAGACTGGAAGGTGGCATTATCAAGATAAAGATTTACATCAGTCCTCGACACCCAGAAGAACAACCTCGGGTCTTCGTCGAGTCACCCTTGTACCACATTCGTGTTTCCAAGCTGGGTGTGTTAATGTACCTTCCTTCGCATGCTGAAGAAATCGGCCAACACATCGAGGGCATCGTCAACACGCTGGAAGACGACAACCCTCCATACAATCCCCTCATGACAGTCAACCCAGAGGCAAGCGCTCTGTGCTGGGGTTCGGAAACAGACCGCAGGCTCTACAGGCGCAAGCTTCGAACATCTCTGGAAGAATCCTGAGGTGAGTTAGTTCATTGTCCTGGAATGTGCATATTTGCTGAGCAATGTGTCATACAGCAGGCTACATGACAGTATTCCGTTATCTTTATCAACCCAACCTCGCTTTAACTGTATCATTTTCCTGCCATCACTATGTTTTACCTTCGTTGAGTGATATCCCTCGAGATGGCGGAGAAGACCGGGGATTGTGGGGCATGTGGCTTCGAATGCCATTCAACACATGAAAATCGATATTGATATCAAACAGAATTCATAGATTCACAAAAAGGACATTCGTAACTTCTTGAGAGAAAGCATAGTTGCTGTATACTAAGTAGGTACAACACGCGGATGAGACAATAAGGGAAGCCAACACAAGGTATAGCTAGGATGCATGAGATAAAGACACCATCTTTTGACTGTAACCATATATATGGTCTGTGCAACGTTCATCAAGCCTGGTACAACTGGGGGGGGGGGGAGTGTTGGATACTCCTGAGACTGTCCCACGAAGGGGCTTTGACTTTCCAAGGTTAGCTAAAGTACAATGTGAGAATTGAAATAGCCATACCAGGATTCTCATTCACACCTCGATAGCAATCATGATTGGTAGAGTGCCCATAGTTGACAGGAGGCCTCGGACGGAACAGAAATATAGGGATCATGGTGCCACAGACCAATCTAGTAAGCACAGATTCTTTGGATCTGGCGGCGTTGCGGGCGATTCTTCGGTCTCCGCCACTTGGCAAGTGTATGCACGTTTGCCCTGATGTTGAATATATCGATAATGCTGGTTTCAACCATTGCCAGCCCATTCAGCACTTGGCATTCACCCTAGGACACCGAATAATGGTCTTTGAACATGCCTTTCCAACGCCGAGTCTTCTTTGGGTCCGCAAGGCTCTCGGTGATCAACTTAAGATCCGCCAAGATATTTGCACCTGGATTCATGTGGCCTTGTGCTTGCGTGAGAGGGCCGGCGTGATCTGACCTCTTGGAGAATTTGGGGGGCATGGTGAAGGAATCTTGTCTGGAAGATCGGGTGTCCATCTCCAGGCTATCAAGCCTGAGCTTGTGGCTGTCAAGCTATGCTGCCAGGGTATCAAGGCGTTTCTTGATGAGTGACGTGGAAGTATCCTCAGTAGGAACTGTTTCGGCTATCTTATGGTCCTTTCGGGAGCAAGAGGGGCGGCACCGAGGGTGCCTGGAGTGTCAAATATGTTAACTTTCGATTCTAGTAGTCCTCCATGTTGAAGCTATCAAGAATCTGGCGAATGAGATTAGAGGACACTGAAGTGAAAGCAGGAGGGAATGAAGACAGTGAGGGTCAAGGATGAGCAAGGTTGGAGATTCCGCGCTCACCTGGTCAGAGTCGGACGTTCTTTCCTTGGATAGCCTGGGATCTCAGATATGATAAGATGTGTATATATGTACACATATGTGTGTAGAGTCAAGGAATTCCATGCTCTTCCAATCACCTTCGGCATGATGGACAATCTCCGAAGCACTGTTCAATGTCATTTCCATTTCCGTTCAAAGTTTCCCCAGGACATGCAGTCCGAAGACTTTGGCCAAAGACTTGGCGTGATTCAAGTTGGAAATCATGGGCACAAGAATATTCTGTCATGTCTTTTTTAGGTGTATACGAAAGCGGTACAAAAAGCATACTCTGTGCACTTTCCTATAGATAACCAGGGATAATGTGAGGATTCAATGGCACCTGAGATTAATTCGAATAAATCTCGGATATGAGGGCTCGGATATGAGGCTCAAGGGATGGTCCAGCAGTGAGTCTCTGCGAGAATTCGAATGGATATACTACAAGGATTTCTCTTCATTTTCGTCTTTCTGTGTTATTTTGGCAAATATTTTCATTTACCAGTAGATAGCGAAGACAAACTGGTTGTCAGTTCGATTACACCATAGAACTAGTGTACTCTTTGCACAATAGAAGATAAACCATTCGTCTCAATGTGGAGTAGAAGAAGTAGAAGAAGTAGAAGAAGAGAAGAGTGCCAAGTTGGGGCCGAGCCCATACCCGCACGGATCACCTGATTATCTCCGCCAACTCCCCCGGCCCCTTTTCACTCAACTCTCCTCCACCCCATCTACAAAAAGAATTCACATTATGTCGGCAAAAAAGCGCACATTGGAGTTGGGCAATGTCCTGGTGGTCGGAGGCTGTGGCTTCTTGGGGTGGCACATTGTCGATCACCTGCTGAACTTCCCCTCCGAGACCGACCCCAGTTACGCTCTGCCGAAGCCCGTCGGCGATGCGCGTTTCGAGTACCCGACTCTGGGATCGCGCTACCCGGATTACCACTCGACTGTCTCTGTCGTTGACTTGCGCACCACCAACAACCGTCTTCCCGGCGCTAAATACTACGATGGTGATATCACCTCTGTCGAGTCTATGTTGGAGGTTTTCCGTGCCGTCAAGCCTGATCTTGTTATTCACACTGCGTCGCCGTCTATGATTGAGGGCAACAAGCCTCTGCTACACAAGGTTAATGTTGAGGGAACACGGACACTCCTCGAGGTCGCCGGTGGCGAGCATGGCGATTGGGGTGGTAAGTGCAAGGCGTTCGTCTACACTAGCTCCAGCTCCGTGGTCCACGACACACAAAGTGATCTGAAGAATGTCAACGAGGAATGGCCATACATCCGGGGTCCTGCACAGAAGGAGTACTACTCCGAGACCAAGGTATGTTTTTATTATTATTATTAAACATAGTTTAATCGGGATCAATCACTAATCAGACCACTTACGTCTATCAAGGCCGATGCCGAGGAACTCGTCCTGAAGTACAACAAGACATCGCCCAACCAGATGCTCACAGCTGCTATCCGCCCGGCCGGAATCCACGGTGAGAAGGATACAACAGTCACGCACAAGATCCTGGAGCACGGTTCCCAGGCTTCGGACAGAGTGTTACGGATGCAGCTCGGTGATAACGACAACCTGTTCGATTTCACTTATGTCGGCAACGTGGCTTATGGTCACTTGCTTGCTGCACACCGGCTTCTCGCAAGCTATGACCTCCACGCGGCTGGCAAGGGCGGGCCCCTCGACTACGAGCGCGTGGACGGTGAGGCTTTCAATATCACCAACGATTCCCCTGTTTATTTCTGGGATGTCACCCGTGCCATGTGGGCACTAATCAACCGCGTCGTTGAGCCCGAACAAGTCTGGGCTCTCCCCGAGGGTCTTCTTGAGACTGTCGGTGGTCTCGCTGAGACTGTCATGGGATTGTTTGGCAAGACCCCACGTCTCACTGCCCGGACAGTGCGATACTCATGCATGACTCGCTACTACTCGACTGAGAAGGCCAAGTTCCGCCTAGCTTACTTGCCTGTTGTGCCCTTGGATGAGGGAATTGCCCGTGCTGTTGGATACATTGTCGCCCAGCAACAAGCGGACGCAGGAAAGAAGGCATTGTAATCTGAAATTAGATCATGAGATTGAAAAAGGCATCTTATGCTGTATTAATATGACTGCTTTCCCCAAAGAAGAAAAAAAAGCCATCAATCCTATGACCCAGGAGATCGTACACCAACAACCTTGGTTGTAGTTCTAATTCCAAAATTATAAGGTAAAAGATAAAAAAGACACCAACAACATACACAGTTAATGTTTCAAATCAGTGGAAGATAATGATGCTGATTCCTAATCTAACGCGAGCTATCTACGTATGTACTTGGCAGTTGTCACTCGTGATATGTCGACTTGGTGTACTTGCAGTAGGAATGGGGTTAGCTGGCCGGATGGAGTCTTTGTAAGGGATATTGCTTTGTGGTGCCGTTTGACGCAGTGCAATATATTTATGCCCGTGTTTGTTCCATTGGAACATTAATTTGAGTGTGCATGCCTAAGCTCTCTAGGGATTTGGGCCGGTGGTCAAGCTAGCGACATGGCGCTGTCATAAGCAACACGGCGCCGCTTACCACTGGATCTCCTATATATACACATATATATTTCACCTCTCTCTCCACAATAGTCCTTTTGTCGTAAGGCAGCCGTTTGCTTTGGCAGCGTTGTCATTGTTTTTATTTGCTCTTCCCTCATCACGTAACATCTCTATATTCCACGCTGCCATTATTAGCTCTGGGGGTTGGAATTGGTCTATCATCGGCATTTCTAAAAATGGTATCGTTGTCTCTGTCAGAGCGCCATGGCTTAGGTTGCTGCAGTTTTTGCTTTGCTCGTGCTTGATGTAGGTCGCACATTTCCACAGGAGGTCTTTCAGATCGCTCAGCCACGCGTCAGACGTATCACTGGCTGGAAACGCCATAGTTTAGTTAGGAGTGATTTAAGGTTAACACAGTGGTGATCTTTGAAGGAGGTCGTGGTGAAACAGAGAGTGTGGCAGGAGAGTGACCGAGCGGCTTAGGGCTATACTCGACTTCTAATGTATTTTCAAAACTTCTTCTACTTTCCCTCACCTTTCTAGTGGCAAGTCCTCCGCACCGATCTTTTGACTGAGATCGGAAATTCGGTCGTACCTGCCCTATATGGATGATTGATTCTAACTTCTGAGTTGTTTTAGTACCGAAAGAACACTACTAGTACCCTCGAGATAGTCCTTTTGTAGCCCGAGGACCCTAGGACCGCGACATTGTGGCCGAGCTCACCTCGCCCCTCTTTACACTGAGCATCTCCCAGTTAAATTGCATCTCTGACTGTGTAGCCTTCCAAGCTCACTAGGTCATTGCTACTAGTGATACCCTCAGCGATTTTGCGCACGCTATGCCTGCCGACAACACTTGAGCCTTGGCAAGTGACTGGGGTGATCAATGTATATGTGTTATCTGTGGCAGAATCCTAGCTAATGCTTGTGTTCTAGGAAAAGAAAAAACCTCTCATTTGGCGCTGTGTCGACCATCGTGAGTCGCGTATTGTACTGTTGGCCAGGACGGGTCATTTACCATTCTTGTTTGCATTGTTTGTCAGCGGCCGTTTTTACAGTGATTAGTAAATGCACAGGAGGATAGATGTGTAGATATCAGCCAGTATACATAGTTGGAAATATCGATATGTAAATATATAATATAATAGCCCTGGTCTTTTGAAAGAAACGATTAGCAATAAAGGTGTTATACAGAAGGTCCTAGATAGATGTTGCAAAATCACGTGATCTCTTATAATAGGAAAGTGGGCCATATATCCACCCATGGGTGAGCCTGGGTGCCGTTCCATGGTTTTGTTGTGCCAAAAATGTGGTTCGGGGAGTTAAATGGTCACGTGGAAGTGGATCGGGCTTGTATGGGTGTTGTACTAGTACTGCAACCTGACAAGACATTTCGGAAAATTTGATTCACTAGCATGCGGTTCTCCTATTTCCCCTTGCAACTCATCAGATCTCAAATCTTAAATAGCTGTGACAATGTCCGATCCTGACAAGCAGTGCTCTGGGACCGATTGCGACAAAGTAGCTGGGACATTGCAATGCCCGACCTGTCTGAAGCTGGGTATCAAAGGCAGCTACTTCTGCGATCAAGACTGCTTCAAAAGGAATTGGGTATGTTACATCGGTGTGGACGTTTCTCTGACTGAGAATCTAACATTGATCGTATCTAGGCCACACACAAGGTGATGCACAAGACACAAAATGGTAGCCACTATGCACCGGTTAGTCATAGCTTTGTTCTCTAATCGCGATATAGCTAGCGGATTTTATGACCCCTTTCCAGCATACCCATACACGGGCTCTATCCGACCTGTATATCCACTCTCCCCGCGGCGACCTGTTCCCAAAACAATCAAGCACCCCGACTGGGCCAAGACTGGCATTCCACAGCGTGAGATGCGCCTGAGCAGATCGAAAGTCGATTTGTTAGATACCAAGGGTCAGGAGGCCATGCGCAAGGTGTGCAGGCTGGCTCGAGAAGTACTTGACATAACTGCTGCAGCGATGAAGCCTGGCGTGACCACAGATTACCTGGATGAGATCTGCCACAATGCTTGTGTCGAGCGAGAGGTGAGTGAAGTCCACTCTTACTCCTATGTGAAGCATGTCAGGCCTTTTTACTGAACCGTGAGGCAGTCATATCCTTCTCCACTTAACTACAACCACTTTCCCAAGTCATTGTGTACATCTCCGAATGAGGTTGTATGCCACGGAATCCCTGATCAGCGAGTCCTTCTTGATGGCGACATTCTTAACCTCGATATTTCCCTGTATCACGGTGGATATCATGCCGATGTCAACGAGACCTATTACATTGGCGACAAGGCCAAAACGGATCCGGACTCAATCAGACTTATTGAAACGACAAGGGAAGCCTTGGACATGGCTATCAAGGTAATCAAACCAGGTGTACCGATTCGAGAGTTTGGCAAGATCATCGAGAAGCACGCAGCCTCTAGGGGCCTTGTCGTTGTCAAGACTTGGGGTGGCCACGGTATCAACTCGGAATTCCACCCTCCTCCTTGGATCCCCCACTACGCGAAGAACAAGGCTGTGGGAACATGTAAACCTGGGATGACATTCACGATTGAACCTATCCTGGCTCTGGGAGGCAGCCGAGAAGTATATTGGCCGGATGAATGGACAAATGTTACGGTGGACGGCAAAAGGACAGCACAATTCGGTGCGTATCGAGCTTTCAGAGGCCGGTCGGAAGCTCTATATACTAACCTGGAAATCGATAGAGCATACTATGCTTGTCACAGAAACAGGCGTCGAAGTTTTGACGGCGAGACTAGAAAACTCTCCAGGAGGGCCAATTCCTATACCGGAGGTTGCAAACGGAGATGCGATTGGAAAGGTGAAGAAATAATTGTATGGGCGAGTGAAAGCCAGTCATAAATAACCTAACGAGTTGGATGACTTTAAAGCCGGTGTATTAGTGCTAACTAGCGCCCGTATCTAGACCTCCACACTATTTTTACCACTATTGCAACTATCTCTTCATTCTCGCTTCATCTCTTTTGTATTCAAGGAACACTTCGCACAATCTCCGTCCATCCATCTATACCCCTTCACAAGTACCATCTATCCACCTATTGGGAAAAGTCTCCTCATTTAGAAGGCAGTAATGAGGTTGTGGATAATAGAACTTACTCGTACGTTGTGCGCGAGCTACGACTAGCCTGAATATACCGTCGAAGCCATGCTACCATACAACTATACTGTCATAACTAAATGAAATTCTGACTGGTCCTCTCTCGAGTCACCCGTATCCGTATGTCTATGTGTAGCGCTTTCCAGGAACAAGGGTAGGTTCGAATTGGCAGTAACCCCAGGGCATTGCATCGTGGCAATTTTTGTAGCGTGTCGCGTAAATGGCGTAACCTTGTCTCGTAATTTAGCGCATTCAGAATTGTGTTCTTGTCGACTTCCGTCTGTATCGCCACCAGCCTTTAGAGCTTTAGGGGTTTTTTCAGCTTGCCGACGAGTCCTTCGTGTAACACGGTTGAATTTGCTTCCAAGATTGGCCCGTTCGTCATAAACAGAACATCTGACAGAACATCTATAAATATATATAAAAAGATTATATAAAGGATTATCTAGAAGGCAACCAAAGAACACCTAAAAAAGAGTGCTGTAAAAGTCCTGGGGATAAAACCAGAAACTAGACGAACTGTGGAAGGGAAGACGTGTTTATAAGTCACCTGTACTTCCACGGTTTCCAAGGTTCCATTTTTATATGTCCGAATCTTCTTTGACATATCTTTACAGATGCCTTAGATCTCTTCTCAGATGCCCTTTGTCATTTCCTAGGGATACAATTGGATGTCACCCCAGGTACATTGGAGATACGTACTTGAATTTCCGCATTTCCGCACACGGATCTAGCACCGCAATGCTGATCAATCAGAGTTGCAGACATGTCTCATTGAGAATGAGTCAAAGTAGTCACGTCTACCCCGTGATTAGTAGCCTGGAGTCCAGCCCACCGCACGATGGTGTTTAGTCGCCTCAGAATCTTCCATTCAGACTTTTTCCAACATCAAAAGGCATAGGAAATACTTCTCTATTTATCACGTCATGTCACTTTTACATGCCCTTCGCCATGAAACTAAACCCGTTGCATTGTCTACTGTACCCCGCGAGCTAGATCTGACCCCCGCAACCGCAGCCGAACATGCTCCAGACCCGCAGGATTCTGTAGAAGGCAACTCGACTCCTAGAGATGGCCAACCTGTCTTTGAACAGACGCTGCCCAGCCGGACGACCAAATCGCGTCGAGTGGTCATTACTGCACTTCTTGTCTTAGCCAATATTGTACAGGTATAGTCGGGACCATTGACTTTCTTCATTAAAAGAAATCCCTCAACACTGACAGTAGTAGATGACAGTCAATTTTGCAGGCATTGCCGGAGGAAGCGCCTTGAGTGAATCATTGGGTGCTGAAAAGACCTACGCCTCATGGATTGCTGCTAGCTATGCGTAAGGCGCAGAGTATCGAGACATTCACAACAGACTATCTCACTAACATAGATATAGTCTAACCCAAGGTACCTTCGTGTTGGTTAGTGGTCGATTGGGAGATGTTTATGGCCATCGAGAACTCGTCTTAGCCGGGGGTGTCTGGCTCACCATCTGCACTCTAGCCAATGCGTTTTGTAACAACTTCTTCGCCTTTGTCACGATGCGGGCTTTAGCTGGCCTTGGAGGGGCATTAATCATGCCTAATGCAGTGGCTATGATATCCAGTACCAACCCCCCCGGTCGCGTGCGAAATCTGAGTCTAGGTCTCTTTGGTGCATCGGCCCCAGTAGGAGGATATTTTGGGGCTTTGTTGCTGGGTGCCTTTCTACAGCAGACAGAATGGAAGTGGTTTTTTATCTTCATGTAGGTGATACATTCATTCGGTGGACCCGGACCAGAAGCACCAGTATTTACCTTGGTAAAACAGTGCCTGTCTTGGTGTTATCACATTCACTCCGCTCTGGGCTTTGAGTCCGCGAGAACCGCCGGTTGATCGTCATGGAAAGATTGACTGTATTGGATCGGCTCTTGGAACAAGCTCATTGATTCTATTCAACTTTGTTTGGAAGTAAGTAGTTGATGGAAACCCGATTCACTGCATATTAACAACCCCCCCACAGTCAAGCCCCAAGTGTCGGTTGGTCAACCTCCTATGAGATTGTTCTCCTGATCAGCTCAATTATCCTATTCGGGGGCTTCCTGCTTTGGGAAAGGAACTACGCCGCGGAACCCATCATGCCACTCGAAATCTTCAAGGCCCCATCCTTCCTCATGCTGCTTTTGGTCGTGCTTCTCAATTATATGGCTGTCGGAACCTTGATCTGGTACCAGGTGCTCTGGCTCCAAAAGGTCTGGCATTGGTCTCCCCTCCAATTTGCCGTGGGTTGGACCCCATTCGTGATTTGCGCCACGGGCGCTGCCTGTCTCGCAGCATGGATGATCCCGCGAATGGCAGCACAATGGATCCTGGCCATTGGAACGGTTACGATCTTAATTTCGAATGTGCTCATGGCGACCGTGCCAATCCACCAATCCTACTGGCCCCAGATTTTTCCTTCTGTGGTTCTGTTCTCATTCTGCCCGGACTTCGTGTACACGGCTGGCCAAATCATTGCCAGCAACTCCGTCCGTCGAAATCAACAAGGAATCGCTGCGTCCGTCATTGGCACCCTGAATCTATATGGAAACAGTCTCGGACTAGGGTTTGCATCCACAATCGAGGTGCAAATTGCCCGCCGCTCGGGTAGCCAAATCATGGGGTATCGAGCGGCACTTTTCTTCGGGGTTGCCATCAGTGTCTTAGCGCTTATACTTGATGTCTGCTTTGTCCGACTAGTCAAGGATAATCGGGAGGGGTGGCATGAGGATGACCACATGGAGGAAATTGAGCTGACGGAGCAGGCCGAAGCTACCGGTGTCCATCTACCAAATGTAAACCACTAAAAGCTGGGAACTACATGCAGCCACTAGACTGGGAAACCGGTAAAATATCGGCAGACCGAGCGTGGGGTGCCGGGAAAATGCCGGGTTGAGCTTGGAGTGGAAAAAGCCTCACCAAATGGGGCAAGAATGTATTTGTCAAGGTTTTTTTTTTTTTTTTTTTTTTTTTTCTTTTCGGGTAACGTCCGTGATACCCCAGACCGTATGTTTTCCATATACGGAGTACAATGTCATATGTATCCATGGATGTTGCGTATGGCTTTCCCCACGTTATGTTGGACTCGCATTATGATGGTTTTGCGGGGAATATGATCTCATTAAACACTCGGTGAGAGAAAGGAGCAAGTTTTTCCAAAAGCAAAAAAAAAAAAAAAAAGAACTGCGGAGAGGCGGGGAAGTAGGGGATTGGCTATATGCCGTATGCCGAAGTTGAATTCCGTGTGGAGATCGGCTCTTCTGGTTTTTCTGGCTTTTCTGGCTTTTCTGGCTTTTCTGGCTTTTCTGCTCCCTTTTTGTTGGCCGGTTTCTTCCGTTTCGTTTAGTCTTTTGTGGGGTTTTTGGTCTTTTCTTGTGGCTCGTGATGTCCGAGAGCTCGGCAAAATCGCTGATCCCGTGACCCTGTAACCCCCAAAAGGACTTCCCGAGCCGAGAAAATGCACGGGATGAGGTTGCCTGCGATACCCCATAGCTCTTAAAATTGTAATCATTTTAGGGAGAATTAAGGGAGCACCCCTTGTATTACCGCGTCTTCTCTAGTCCTATCATATCAGATGCCTCCATCTCCGGCTTGCACCGGGGGATCGTCACATACCCATGTCATGGACATGGACCCCATTCGTTGAAGCTGAATTCCCTTCGGAACGTTTGCTGTTCTCGGATGCCCAGTCGGACAGCCCCACTATGACCCCCGCGTAAAGTATACGTACGATTTTCGGCGTGGGGGTCCGTACCGGGGAAGTCCATAAAAAAATACTAGCGCGGGGGGAACCATGAGAAGGGTTTTTGGGGGTTTTGTCTCATCTTAAATAGAAAAGAACCTGCTCTTGTCTGATCCCCGGATTATTTGGTTTTCCTCACGATCACAAACACACACACACATATAATGGCAGACGATATCTCACGGGAAAACCGTGACCGGATAGAGATTGACGCCGAGAAAGAACGAGTTGAAAATGTCGAACATATTGCCTCCCCACAGCAAGATGGCACTCCTCAGATGGATCCTGCTCGCCGGATAGCCGTTGAGAAGAAGCTTAAGCGCAAGCTGGATGCCCGTTGCAGCCTTTTTGTCGCGATCTACAGTGAGTAGTTCTCGCCGCCGCCCCAAACCTCCCCAACCTCCATAGGCGACCTATATATCAACTTCACATCACTGACACGATCTTCCGCCGCGCCAGTTATGAACTATTTGGATAGAAACAACATGGCTGCTGCTCGTCTGAAGGGTCTGCAGGAAGATCTGAGCCTCACCAACACTGAGTACTCAACATGTCTGAGTATCCTCTACGTCGGCTACATTATCATGCAGGTTCCTTCCAACATGTTCATTAACCGCATCAGCCGTCCCTCGCTCTACATTGCCGTGGCTATGTTATTGTGGGGTGTTATCTCCACCTTGTCTGGAAATACCAAGAACTTCGGTGACATGGTGGCTGTCCGTTTCCTGTTGGGCTTCGTCGAGGCAGCATTCCTGCCCGGTGCCCTGCTCATCCTCTCCAAGTGGTACACGCGCCGCGAATTGACTACCAGGAATGCCATCCTGTTCTGTGGTAACCTTATCTCCAATGCATTCTCTGCTCTCGTTGGCGCCGGGGTGCTATCCAACATGCAAGGCGTCCTAGGCCACGCCGCGTGGCGCTGGCTCTTCTGGATCGAGGGCTCTGTGACTATGTTCCTTGCCATCCTTGCCGCATTTATCTTGCCCGATCTCCCGCACAATGCACGCGGCTTCACTGAGGAAGAGCGCCAAGTTGCGCAACTTCGCATGATCGAGGATGTCGGCGAGGCTGACACCGACAGTGAAGACCTCGGTGCCTTTGGAGGACTACTCATGGCCCTCAAGGACCCTAAGATCTATGTGATGATGTTGACCTTCACGGCTTATGTTGTCGGGCTCAGCTTCAATGCTTTCTTCGTAAGTTGTCTCATATCAAAAGCCAATTGGGACCCTTTACTGACTTGCTTCACAGCCTACCCTTACTGGTACTCTCGGATTCGGATACGTTCCGACTCTGCTGATGAGCGCTCCTCCCTGGGTCTTCTCCTGTATTGTCTCGGTCATCAACGCTTGGCACGCAGACAAAACACAAGAAAAGGTCTGGCACATCCTCGGTCCGATTGCAATGGGAGCTGTTGGTTTCGTCATCTGCATGGCCACCAGCAACGTCGCAGCTCGCTACGTCGCACTATTCTTGCAGGCTGGTTCTTATGCAGGATTCATCGTATTCTACTCATGGATCAGTTCCTCATTCCCCCGTCCTCCTGCCAAGCGAGCTGTCGCCATTGCCATGATCAACGCCTTCAGTCAACTCGGCAATGTGGCTGGCTCATACGTCTGGGACTTGGAAGAAAATGGGTATCGCTCAAGCTACGGAATTGTGCTGGCCATGTTCGGTGTGACAGTCGGTGGATGCTGGTATTTCCGCTCGATGCTGGTCGGCTTGAACCAACAGCTCGAGGAGGGTGAGCTTGCAGATGTTGCTAGAGGAGAGTCGACTGAGAACGATATCCTCGATAATGCAGACGAGTCGCTGCGTATGCGCAAGGGTTTCAGGTATCTAGTTTAAGCGTTCTCAAGTGTCTGTCGGCACCGGAACTTAGCTTCATCAACAATTCAATTGCTCTCAATGCACCTATGCAATTAGACGCCTCACATTTTCCATGTCAGGACTGAATTTCCCGGTTAAAATGAATATTCGGAGTATAGTCGTTCTTGATAGAGCTACCAGAAGTATTATATTCTTCAACGATAGATTCACCAAGAGGCTGATCGCATCTGCTAATACTTTGAGGGCTGGTTGAACTCCATCGACATAGCACAAGGTGTGCTGTAGGTACATGATCCGTCATTTTCCAACCATGACATGTCCTTCGCAATTTTACTTCACGAGGAGGAAGGGTCACCTTTGTTAATGCCGTCATCTGGCACCGGCTGTGTGCTCAAACGGGCTGTACGAGAATTTCAGCGAACGCGGAAAGATATGTTGGTGTCTCCCGGGGATTTCGAAAACTCATACGTAGATTGATCAAACTGTTCATTCCAGGCTTGATCCACCAGATTCTCCATATCATGATGACTTATAACGAAGTCGGTTTCATTTGGCCCTTTGAGCCTAGGGTGAATTTCTTAGAATGTGAGTCGAATGCTTCCTTGGACTTTCTTGCTCTTTGGCGCCGGATTTCTTAGGATTTCTATTTGCTGTACCGGGGCAGGGGGTTGGGTGTGCGCCTCTTATCTTCTATTCTTCCATGGAGAATCTTCCACACTTATGCACTGCCATCGTGAGTGCAACTTTCCTTCGTGGGATTCACGTAACCAGATTTTGAATCCTTCTCAACTTTCACCCTTCCCTCTGACCATACGACTTCAACTGTTATAGCAGGCTGTTTCCTCGAGAGGCCAGAATATATTAAATTCCAAGAGCAACCCGCACCTTTATTCTGTCCCGAACTACTTCTCACTGATGCGACCGTTTGTCGTTAATAAAGCTGCTATATAGTTTGTGGACTACGAGGTGAGTAGCAGCGCTATGTTCCGTGCAGCCAACCTTACGCTAGGGTACTCTACGATTTCGAGCATCACTATTCGTGTAGCGACGGGCGATAAAGCTATCGCTTCAGGAAGTGTCATTGGGCTGGGAACAATGTCGCCGAGTAAAGTTTCGTCCGTGGTATACAGTTGCATATTAATGGCATCCCAGCCACGGTGGATATGTATCGAGATATATAGCCCGGGATTTGTGTGTGGGCTACTCGGCGATGGAGGTGATAGTGACATCGTAAGGTCATCCCTATTGGACGAGGATGATTATAGACATAGTTGTACATATAGTGATTGCCTAGGGAAGGGTGTCATAGTGTTACATTTTAGAGCTAGGAGTGAGTAAAGATTATGTATAAGTGCAAGATATGGTGGTTGTGTTAAGGAGAGAGGAAGGAGAACAGGCGCAAGCGTCAAGTAAAGAAATGTGTGCAATTGTGGGATGTGAGATAATAACTTGTCTGTCCCCAGTTACCCTTCTCTCTTCAATCTATTTCTCGTGGTCATGTTTTTTTTCTTGGTTCCGATCCTGCTAGGACTCTTCTTCCTAGAAGAACCAGCGTATCGTACACCGTCGATATTCATATATTGGCTATACAATATCAAGAGAGAGGGAGTAATCTTCATTTATATCACGTAACTTTCCTATCAGTCAGTCTATAGGCTCAATACCAGATGTCTACATATTTGGTCGGTTTCACCATCGTTCGGGGCACGGTGGCGAATTCTGATATCAGGTCGAGAAAATGGAAGATCGGCTCTATTCTCTACTTCTATTCCACTCTAACTCTAGTTCTATCGGTCTTCACGAGACAAATTGCGGTACTGGTTATTCGGATCCTGCTCTTCTTCCTCCGCCGATGGAATTGTCTTCTTCACGCGGCAAGGAGTCCCAACGGCGACTGAGAACGGCGGGATATCCTTAGTGACAACAGATCCGGCTCCAATCGTTGAGCCCTGGCCGATTCGCACACCAGGAAGAATAATCACATTACTTCCAATCCAGCAGTCGTCTTCGATAAAGATCGGATGACCAAACTCGACGAACTTGCGGCGAGAAAGAATGCTGGTATCATGGCCAGCAGTGATTATACTAACTCCAGTGCCGATCTGCACACGATCGCCGATGACAACTAGGCTGGTATCTAGTATAGTAACGCTGGGAATTCTTGGTAAGTTTTAATCGGCCATGGGGACAAGGCAGGCTCACTTCCAGTTAAAGAAGCAATCCTTTCCGATGACAGTATTGCATCCGTAGTCTGGCGAAAATGGTGGCTCGATGAATGTTCCCTCTCCAACTTTGCCGACGAGTTTCCGCAATAACTCGAGACGCTTATCGCTGATCTTGTCATATGTCACCGTCTTGGTGTTCAGGTTGTTGAAGTCTGCGGCCAGTCCCCGGCACACATGCCGTGCCTCTAACAGTTTCGGGACGTTGGGGTTGTACCTGAACAATTACTAAACAATCTCATAAGGGTGTAAGTATATTGTGAATGATACATACATCATTCCAGATATCATACACTCATACTCCTCACACAAAGGGACTCCTGCCAGTCCCCGAGCAAGCTCGATGATCTCAGGACGTTTCTCAGTGGCAGCCATGTTGAACAAAATATTTGAGAAAAGCAAGAAAACATAGAATAGACCAGGATAACACCAGATATATGAACTGGGGGTCCGTCACCAAGCGGGGGTGATTTGCCGACAATTCGCCGCTGACGAGGTGGAGAACGCCAAGAGCTGGCGGGCCTTCCTATTTAGGTATAACAGCCAATTTATTCGATCAGCCAATTGACAGATATCTATGTTGACAAACTGTCTGCATTGTTCAAAATATCAGACCACAGACCACCTGAACACATGTGCTAAATCCCCGTTTTATCATACATCAAACTTGCGAATACGCCTCACAACCTCCTCCACGTCCACCCAAATCCGCTGTCGATTCTGCAACCCTTTAAGCCTGTCCCAATTCAGTTGAATTTGTACCAGTACACGACGCCAGTCAGTATTCATTCGAGGCAATTTCACCTGGTCTGGCATGGTCACGGATAGAGGAAATCGGTACTCAGCAACTCTCTCAGCGGCATGTTTTGTATAGACATCTTCACACAAGGCCTTGGCATAGGTACTCCGTGCCCTGATAACAGACTTGATCTCAGCCGTTGTTACATTTGTCCAGAGTGAAGGGCTGTGTTTGCATTCGGATTCATCCCAGGCTTCCCATAACCAGGGCATTTCCCTGCGTACTAGCCTGTACCACACACTGTTTGGGAGTTCAGTGAATGCCCTAGAAGCAATGCTTAAACTAGTGATATCACTAGAGCCTAGATAGTCGATAATCATGAGCCGGATTTCTGCTGAAAGGACGGAGAGAACGTCGGCCTGGCTATTGTGAGATGGGGTATGGCGATTCGTCACATGAGACGACCTAGCCTCATCATATGAGTCACATGAGACAGCCAACCATTCGTCTTTGACCGCGGAGAGAAGGATTTCCGGTAGCCCGGGCACACAAAGGGGATTGGAAACCAGATACTCAGTGCCAGGCTTATGGGACCACCATTGCTCCTGTGAGGCTTTAACCTCTCTGGCTCGAGGAAATGATCCAAAGGCAGCCCAATCAAACTCGGCATTCCGCCAGGTCATCAGTCCAGAAACATTGATGCGCTGAAACTGGATTTTCGATTGTCGGCAGAAGATATCAAAGCACCACGGATGGAACGGCATGGCTATATCATCCGGTGATGTGTCTTGCACCTTGCAATTGTCAGCTTCCGGTTGTGCCTCCGAGACGGTCCAAGAACGCATTTGGTAGATAAACCTACCCCAGTGTCCACATTGTCTGTCTGTACATCTTCTATCCCATTTCGCGCGGGCCACACTGTGGGGATGCCCGTATCACGCGACGGGGTTCCATCACATATCCCGGATAAAGACCAATCCCCATCAATCTCCCAGGGCTGATGTAACTGGTCAGCTTGCCATTGATCCCTCGGTACCGTTTTATGCACCAGGAACTGGGCGGTGCGACAGCCTCTCGCCTCTTCGGGTGAGATAGCATCAGCCGAGTAGCCCGACATTGGAGTATCAAAATATCCAACGCGCAGTTGGGGATCCCCCCTCGTGGCGCTTCTAGGGTCAAAAGTTTGCAACACCCAATTGTAAAACATTTGACGTTCGGAATCAGTATTTGCATCACTACTGCTGCCTTCGCTGTCCTCATGCGCATCTTCGTCAAGGCCCATGCCGTCGGTAGATTCGTAATCGGAGTCATATTCATATGGCTCATTCTCCTCATAATCCCTTTGGAATTGATAATCAGGATCTTGAGCTGTGTCGTCGTCATCCGTAGAATTAATTAGGTCTGTCTCATCGCATTGGCCGTCTTGAGGACCAGGCACGTCTAGCTCCCCAGATTTGAGGCGAAAGATGATATTGAAGCTCACACCACAAAAATGGCAGTAGAACTAGAAAACTGTTAGATACATTGTATATGTATAAATGCAAGAATCTGTACCTCAGAATAGCCTACACACCATTGTCAGTGATGTATCCACAGGATTACTTTGCACCGGATAATATAGATGTCCACTTACCCATTATTCTTTTTTTATTTTATCTTAAATTTTTTTCAATTGACTAGCAATTTAGATGATCTTGCTCTCCGCACTCTCCCTCCCATCAACTCACAGAAGAGAGAGAAGAAAAGGAGAAGTGCAAAGTGGTCAGTTTTTCCTCGTATCCGCGGCCCCATTTTAGACTAGGCCGATCCTGGCATCTCTGATTGGTTAATCTGAGGTTATCTACCAAAAAGGCCATGGTGTTTAGAATGTTCGAATCCGTTAGTGATTTGGGGGATTGGAATCTCTTCTCGATCTGATATACACTCAAGGGTAGTCCAAAGACTTGTTATGTACATTAACTTCGTCCGCATCCAGCGTTTCGCGCCGGACAGCATCAACATCAAATGCCGCCTTACTGTGAAATATAGTTTCCATCTCTTCAAGACTTTTTCCTTTTGTCTCTTTGACAAAGAAGAAGACAATGATCGCCATGATGATATCTAAGATTGCATAGAAAAGGAAAACATAACTTCCCCAGGAATTCATCATATAGCGAGTCACCAGGGAGAACAGGAAGTTGAAAAGCCACTGTGTTGATACTGCGACCGAGGTTCCAATCTCCCGAATTCGCGTTGGGAAGATCTAGCATACTAATTAGCGGTTGAACTGAAGATAGACGGAATATAACTTACCTCGGCAGTGTATGGCCACGGCAATGGGCCCCAACTGAATTGGTAGATCGAGTTCGTCAGGAAGATCATGGCCACCATTCCGATACCAGCCGGGGTTGCTTTTGCATCGGGCACTGGCGTGGTTTCCTTGACGACTGTCACAATGATGAAGCACCCGGCCATCAACAGAGCTGAAATCCAAAGGGTCGGCTTTCGTCCCCACATCTCGGAGAAGAACAAGATATAGATTCCAACAGTGATGAACTTCTCGGCTCCAAAGAGACCAGTGATGAGAAGGGACTGGTTGGTGTTGTTGCCGACTATGAGTTTGAAGAACTGCGGGCCGAAGTAAGCCAGCGCGGTCATGCCAGTGCATTGTTGACCGCAGAACATGAAAACGGCGAGAAGCAGTCTGTAGCGGTTCGCGGGCTCGAGGAGTTCGCGCTTATTGAAGCCCTCGGTCGCTCGTAACTCTTCCTCGAGTCCGACTCTGATTTCGTTGAACTCTGCCTTCACTTCGGGGCCTATTGATGTGGATTGCTGGTTAGTCCTATGTCCCGCTATGGCTTTCTGGGGGATGTTTCCTTCCTTACCTTCACTAGCTCGCATCCATTTCAAGCTCTCCCATGCTTCGTCAAAACGGCCCTTCTTGGCCAACCACCGTACACTTTCGGGCATACCACAGAGGCCGAGTGCAAGTACTCCAGCTGGCACCATCTGGAGACCAACGGGAATCTGCCACTGCTTTGAAGACACAGGTAGTGTGATCTTGACGGCATAGTCAATCCAGTAGCTCAGCATCACACCTAGTGCAAAGAGCCATTGCATCCCTGACCCGAGCTTGCCGCGAATTTCCTTGGGTGCCATTTCAGCGTTGTATGCCGGGACGACCGCAGTGCCTGCACCGAGCCCGAGACCAGCGACAAACCGCCCAATATAGAAACAAACAAGTGAGTGTGATGGAACCACTTGAAACACCACACCGAGACAGAATACGGTCATCGCTGCCTGAACTGTTTTCTTTCGCCCGTACCGTTCGGACACCCAGAAGATCCCCAGGGCTGATATGAATGCGCCTACATTTTGCAAGCTTACCATCACAGCACTGACGGTTGTCTGATCCTTGTAGGCAAAATCATTGATGTAGGACTTGAACTCGAGGATACCACCTATCCATCAAGACTGTTAGTGATGATCACTAACCAAACGGGGCTTCTTTTTCACTTACCAACAATTCCAGTATCATATCCAAATAAGAACCCGGCTGTACAGATGAAGAATCCAAAGAAATACGCTCGGATGGCCCCGAGCCTGGTTCCTGTTAAACCCATGCTGTGCGACGTAGTACACAAAGACTACTTGGACGATGAAAGACAGAATGAGAATCTTTCTTTTTTTTAAAAAAAAAGCTTGAAGCACACTTCCATGCTTTTAATCTATAAGCTCTCCAACGCTGAATTACCCGATCCGCATTTCAGCTGAGGTACAGCACGCAACCTGTAGTGTCGGCTACGCCATAGCACGCCATATCACCGAGCGTTCTGTCGAACACCAACAGAGGCCTTAGCTGAACCAAGAAGATGCTACAAAACAAGAAATGCCATGACAATTTGAATTGGGGATTTTTCCTATACACATAGTACATCCCACTCGGTATAGCCTATAAGTTCACGGCCGTTCCAAGTTGAGTGTCTCCGCATCTTGCCAAGACTCCCCCGGATCACCCCTTTCGGCCTGTCGCTTCGGTCGTCTCGGCCCAAATATCTGTCTTATTATAAGATATACTAACTATTAACTATATTCATTATTATTGACTACACATCTCGAGAGAAAACATGGTTAAAAAAGGAGGTAAGCAAAAAAGAAAATCCTCATAGGCGACTAGGAAATCTTGTACCGCTTTGCACCCTGGTCACCTCCGGACGTTGGGCAGAACGCGCGTCTTCCACACCTCTTACCACATGTGTCGAAGTCATATGTGAGACTCACTGACCTGTACGATGCGAGCCAGCAAAGCTAAAACGGCCCCCACGTCGTTTAGTCCGTTGTGTGGTTGCCACATAGTTCTAGTGGCCGGGCGACATCCCTTACCGCCGCAGGGCGAAGATCGTGGTGAGACAGAGGCCACACTGAAATGCGCCGGTTCAATATCAACCGATCTCGGCATCGTCTTCCTGGTTTATCGTTTATCCACTGCTCGTGCTAGGACCAGTGAATCATGTCTTGCAACCGCCCTCTGGTAGGAATATATAATATCCACATCATTCTGCAGAATGAGCTGAGTCACCTCAGGCTTCAGCTTTAATGATTTAGATGGCCTTTCTGCAGTGGTTGGTGCCCGTATGTCCCACGGAAGATGATGCAGCGTACACAGGTTCTAATAGTCCTCCTGGATCCCCCCAACATACTGCTCTGTGACTCCGGCATCTGTTGTTTGGCGTGAGTGACTGGTCAATGACCGCTGTGGTCTTTCCCGTTGTATTTTAATCTTGCGAGGTGGGAGCTATCGACCATATTGTTGTTATCCCGTGTACCTATTATAAATGGACTACCAACTTAGCCATCAGTCAATTGTTATGACCAAAGATGATTGGAATATAGCAAGTTAAGCTGTCAAGTCCCCAGCTATCGTGACTAAGCTATTACAAGAAATCCCCAGCATACTTCTCATACTCCTGCATGAAGTCCTCTATATTGAACTTGTTTTTCAGCTTCTTGGCTTATAGAATCATATTACCTGCTTTACTGTATTCCTGTCGGAATATCGCGAGTAGTGTGGGGCTCCTCGAGTAATGTGGAATAAAACGTTGATTATCTCCTATTACCATCATCGGGGTCCTGGGTCAGATCTACCGCCTCGTACTGTCCAAAATCCAAGAAATACAGCTTAACGGCCCGGTGCTGCAACTCTGGCCTATAGTCTTCTTCCCAAGCCCCTGTCGCCGATGTGCCAAGTACCAACTCCACATCATCGCCGTTGATGCCAGTGCCCCGGTGCAAGGTTGCATAGGCTTTGCCTATCGCATTTGCAAACGGGAGAGTCTCAATGCCAATATGCTCCATCGGGTCAAGATATAGAGGGAAGTTTCTCAGCGGGGGTTTGTGATCAATGGTACCGTTGGCTTTGCCAAGGTAAATTCGGGCTAGACAGTGCTTGTTTTGAGGGTGATTGAGGAGGTTTCAATTTCGGTCTTATCGAGAGCGCAAAACTGCGAGATCAATGCCTTGCCTACGACTTTCGGTAATGGAAGAATCCGTTCCATCATCACAAGTTCCCCGCGCATGCGATAGGCCTGGGGGGCTTTTGGTAAGATTTCATCCCAGAACGTGTCGTTCTCTTTCCTGGAGATAAACTCGAAGGCCGTCGATCTCTCCGAGATGTGTGGGTTGAACCAGAGTTCCGAATGTACCGATTTATTATTTTTGGCTCCCTTCTGGACCATGATTACCTTGCGCTGACAGATGTGTTGTTAACTGTTGAAAAGAGATGTCCACATGTAGGCACCAAAGGTAGATAGCTGTGACGTCCTGCCAGTCCCTTCCAAGGTTACTCGAGTCCGCGGGTATAACATCCACTGAGTATTATACATGTACCTACAATATATGTACCTACAGTACATATGTAGGTAAAGAGAATGGTAGATTACCTCAGTATAGACACCAAGATATAGTCAAACGCCTTCCGTTTGCTCTCCGGCCCATACAAAACTTTTCTCAGACCTCTGACTTGGTTTCTCACTTTCTTCAAATTAGAGTCTCTGTCTCTTCACTTCACACATTCTCTTCACTTATTTCTCTCTCTGTTTCTCACTTTTTTCTTACCCGTTATTAACTTGCTGTCTTCTCATATCTCTCTTTCTCTACTTCAAACCCTTTATCATCTCTATCATGGTAAAAGAAAGATACCTGCACTTCCTACCGATTGGCCAGGCTACTCATGTTGTCAATATCAGACCTCCGCGATATTTGTCCCCTTCGCCCCCTCTAGTCATCCTAACCAGCTTCTCCAGAAGCTCGGCGCCGCCCACAACCCGGACCTTCCCATCAGCGTTGCATTCGGTCTGGTGGCCTTACAGCGCGGCTGGAAGCCAGGCTCCAATAAATGGAAGAAAAACTGGAATACTTGCATGAATAGCGAGTATGACCGACTTATCGGCTGCCGTGTGAGCAGCCTCGCCACCTGGCAGGAGCTGTGCACAAAGGTGGGAATCGAAGATTCTTTCACCTCGATTAACCAATGCAAGAAGGTAATGTCCTAGACTTGAACAATTTATTATCACTTACTCACTATTGCATGCAGGCACTGGCTCGCGTCCACGTCAATATCGTTGACCTGCTGGATTCCTGGAGTATCGATGCTATCCCGGTTCGCTTCAAGAATAAAGAGGCCCTTGCAGCATATACCAAGGACAGCAGGAAGTTCTTTGGTCGACATATCGCTAAGCAGGACAAAGTGCTCCGCGTTCTGCTTCGTAAGCTCCTTTAAAGAAGCTCCCGAGGATGTGTACAACAGGCAAATCTTTTATGGATCATAGAGAACCAACCACCGTGATATTCACACGAGGCAATGGAATGAGAGAGTATTGAGACAACGGAGATAGCTAAGAATTTGAAATATCAAACCTACATATCCAAGTAAAAGCGTGTCTACATGATATAGAAGTCTAAGGTCACTATTTTCTATCACATTTTCTTCAAGCGACGCTCACTCCTTTCTCATTTGACCTTTTTCTCACCCCTCACCTTCTCTTCCTGTCCTTCTCTTGCCATCCTCTGCATCTTGCATCTTCTCCTCTCCTCTCTCTCTCTCTCTCTCTCTCAATACATAATCTCCCTATCACTTTCTTTCATCATTTTATCAACAAAACGAAAAAGCCAATTCCCCTGCTACTAATTAGCAAGGCGTACCTGTGTTGTCTCCTTTAGACCACCGACTTCCAACATGTTTATCCCGCTTCCTCCTGTGGCTCCTTCTCCAGCTGGTTTCCCAGTCCCTGCTCTGCAGCATCCGAACAACCATCTACGAAAGCTTGGCGCCCCTTACAACCCAGAGCTTCCTATCAGCGTTGCCCTTGGACTTATCAGTCTGCAGCGAGGCTGGAAGCCAGGATCTAAGACCTGGAAAAGGAACTGGAATGCCTGCATGAATGATGAATATGACCGCCTGATTGGCTACCGTGTAGCCAACCTGGCCACATGGCAGGAGCTGTGTGTCAAGGTAGGCATTAACGATTCATTCACTTCTATCAACCAGTGCAAGAAGGTACGGTCCCCGCCCCAGGTGATTCGATACTGCCCACTCACTGTTGTAGGCTCTGGTGCGTGTGCACGTCAACCTTGTTGATCTTCTTGATTGTTGGGACGCGGACCACACCCCAACTCGATTCAAGAGCAAGAAGGCCCTTGCAACATACACCGAGACACATAGCAAGTTCTTCGGTCGTCACATCGCCAAACAGGACAAGGTCCTCCGAGTCCTCCTACGAAAGATTCTCTAAAGCTGTACAATGGTATGTCTATTCGAAGATGTCGGGTTCCTAGGCACTAGACATGTACTAGGTGCATCCGGTACAGCTGGAAACAAGGAGATCGACCATCTTGAGATCCACAGATAATGAGAGAAATGAAACCAACATGTTCAACATTTTACATTGTACCTGTAACTCTAGTATGTAGTGATTTTGAGAGCCTGCCTACATACTCTCTATTAAATATTGTCGAACCTTCCTCAACTGCGCCTTGAATGTCCCTTTCCAAGTGCATATCAACTGTCGCGACTTCCTTTCCTGATCATCAGGTGAGTATTATTGCTAATTGACCTCAAGACATGACAAAAATGATTGCAGCCAATCTAATTTCCAATGGACTAGAGTGAGTATTCCCATTTTTCCTACGTATGAAACACCGAGTATGATGCAAGTCTTTTCCAATACCAAAGGAAGGCGGAATTTGGGCAATGATTATCTTTCAAGTATCACCATATATCTTCTAAATACATTTGATTCAATGTATCAAACATGTTGTAATCACTGGGTAGACAATTGGCCGAAAATGCAAAGCCGAGGTTGTTGATAAACAGCTCATCAGGGTTAGGGGCTGCCGCAAGTCCAATCACGCCGTTGTTGTTATTGTGATGATAAGTATTACTCGAAGCAGGAACATCAAACCAATTGGAATTTGGAACAGGAGGGGTCAGAGGGATATCTTGAACATGCAAGTCTTTTGGGTTGGGCAGACCTTGGAGTGGCTCGGTCGAGGCCATGGGCCCTACATAGAGATCCACGTCTGCCGGTTGATATGCAGTTGTGCAAATGTCATTGCATTCCAATGGAGGGGCAGGCGGCATATGGTCAATATCACAGTTCAGTCGTTCGCAGTATAATTTCTCAAGATTTCGTCCAATACGCTTTGCAATATCCCAGGACGTTGAGAGTTCCCGTAATACCTGAAGGCAGAGCCCCACAGCTGCCTGTGGTGACGGACCTCGTGAGGCTTGGTTGCCTGTACCAGATCTCATGGCGTAATCAACGCAGCATTTTTCTATGATGAGCGATGCCGCCGATAGCATGCAGTGTGTCGCGGTTATAGGGCTCAGCTTGAAGCTGCCAAATGTCTGTCTATATTTCTGGGCCACAATGCACATTCCTCGGACTGAGGTTCTGCATATTGTCATGATTTTCTGTCTACAGACAGACTCCTGATCATTGTTGCTGCTGTTCTGTTGGGTCTGTGGGTCGGTGTGATTGCCAACATCTTGACTGGCAGACTGATTGCTCAGAAAAGGCACGCAAAGTAGAATGCACACAGTATGGTATACCATGCATAATGTATAGGCGTGAGGAAATCGAGAGGGACCAGATGGACGGTCAACTTTGAGCTCTGGAGCAAGATCGTAGTACCATGTCTTGAGTTCAAGCACACAGGAGTCAAAAAATGCAAAACGTTGCTTGGGTTGTAGGAGTGGCTTTGGAGACCAGCTTGGGTTATATATGTCAGTGAGACAGATAAATATGAGAAATGATACGATAGACTCACAATGAAAGGAGAACTTTCTCAAATGTACGACACAGGTCAATCATTGCCCTATGCAACTGTACCACGTCTCTTTGAGAAGCAGCCCTTAATTGTCCATTGCCATTTGCTGAAGGTAAATAGACATCTGAAGCACATAAGGGGAATGGTTTGTTGACGACACCCTGGGAGTCCTATGTGACAAACGAAAGTGAGTATAATGCCAAAAAAGAAAAGAAAAAAAAAGATGATTTGTGGTACAGCATACCAGTAACGTGCACACTCTGCCTGTGTAGCTTGCCGAGAGTTTGTCGTGGCAATAAAGAGCCCAATAGATCTGCCTTCGGAGTTCAATTTCAATGGGTGGAAGAGCAACTGTCCCGGAGAGGACCGAAGGATCCATGTTGAAGCCCATATCCAGGGCCAGTCGATTGGCCATGCCTTGGTGGAGCCACCCAGCAGCATCAGACCCCATCGCCTGTTAGATGTTAGTGTGATTCGCTCTGTAGATAAAGGTCTGTTATATAAGACTCACAATATAGGCCATGCCCATAATTGTCAATGACTGGATTGTTGTGATCTTGGGCCACCTGAGGTCGTTTTGAATCAATCTTTCAGCCCTCTCGAGGAATATCTTGCCGGCTGTGTTTGAATCGTTGGGGTCTGATCTAACTTCTATGCGATCGCAGTACCGTGACCCTAAAGCGAGAATGCAATTTAAAAGAAGGGGGCTAAAGTATCGCCCGCCATTTCTCATGGAATCTCGAAACAGTGTCTCGTTCACCACCTGAAGCCATGGCTGTTCCCACTCAAAATACAGGTCGATCAAATGAGATCGAAGCCCGACTTCTGGTGCGAAGCTTTCTTCTACCGACTCCGTGCTCCCATTCAGCGGTGTTTCACAAGTTCGCATGGAAGGGCCATCGGACTGATACGTCTCTTCGTTGGGCGAATCTGGAAATTGTTAGCGAACCTATATTCTGGAACGAGAAAAGGGCTACGGCAGCTTGCCTTTTGATGAAGATCGAAACAGCAATCGCCCACTTGTCGGTCCAAAATACCGTACTTCACCATCTTGATCGAAATTTAATGACTCGTCAAGCGTCAGTGCGCCGTCAAACGTAGTACACAAGTCATCAACATTGGAGCAAGCCGGGGCCCACTCGGTGTCAGGCTCATTTTCCGTCATCCGTTGAATGGCGGCGTCAGAATCAATGCCATGGGTTTGCAGTACACGCTCCAAGAGTTCAATTCGATTGCGCAGCATGACTACATAAGACTTGGGCGCTGGCTGCCGCCCGTCCTCTGCTGTAGAGTACTCGCATTGAACGCCACGGTCAAGGCAGCGGGAGCAAGACGGTCGGATGCCATCACACTGTTTTTATGTTAGCACAGACTTGGGGTGATAAACCGTGGAACACTATCATCCTACCTTAGCTCGTCGTTGTCGACATGTCTCACAGGCTCGGGAGGTATACTTTCTACCCGGTCGCTTGCGCCTAGCAGGATCATCTGCCGGTGCCGCGGGCATAGTTAAATAATATGCAAAAAACAAGTGGAATTACTTTCGTCCAGTAGACTCTAGTATTATGGTACCCTTATGATTAGAGGACTTCAGATTTGGGATGGAATGTTTACCATGGACCAATGGACTCAATCTGACATTACAAAGCAAAGGCTTTCATGCCTTACTGCCTCAGGCGTCAAGGCAGAATGAGTCCTTAACATCCAGGCCACAATATCTGACGGTTGCCACAGATATTGTCCTATCCATACATAGTATCCCCCAACGGCTTGTTGGTATCTAAGCTATAACTGGACAGATTTAACGAGTACAGATTTATATTTGATCCAGGGGAGTTGGTTTTCCGGGAAAAAATAGGCATTTCCAAAGCAGATATATATTGTGAGAATGATAGAACTTACTTGACGGAATACCCTGCAATTTACTAAGATCTCGTTCTCTAAAATTCTTCAAAGTTCGCTGTACCTAAGCAGTGGACACGGTCCTATATGTAATTATCTCTCGTCATAGACTAGTAGATTTTCATGCTAGACAGGCATGACCCCATCGGAAGCAGATCAGGACAGGCTGCATGGGAAGGGGAAGAGTAAAGTTTACTCGGGGAGTATCTACTGCTAGCTCCTAGCTCCAAGGTCACAGTGAAATAGAGATTTCCATGGAATATGCATGTATGTAGTCCAAGCTTGTCTTAATACCTTCATACTAAAAAATAACAATTGAAGATCATCCCCACAAACGATGAAATCAACCAGCTGACTACCCCGCAGATCCGAGATGAAGAAAAAAGGCGGAGCAACTTTGAATGCCGAACATTCCGGGCCTATTCTTAGGATGTTTTGGGATATGTTTTTCTTTTCTTTTTTTTTTACCGTGTCTGCATCTGTAGTCAACAACGTCGGACTCTGATTTATCAACTTCAAGATGATATAAGGGATGTTATATGTCACCTGGGCAGATAACACTCCGATGCCTTCTTAGATGTCTTTTTTAGACCCTTATTCTTGGCGTTCTAGAAAAGAAAAGAAAAATATCTGGTTATATACCTAAATACCATGAATGGTAATATAATAGGAATAACATGTAGTACAGAGTAAACTCTACGTGCAATATACGAAGGTAAAAAGCATAAACTGTACAGAGGACTTTCCCATATCTACAACTGTAACTAGGGATTTGCGCTCCGAAGCGGGATACTGTAGAATTGGAGTCATGTAGAATCTTGGAATATCTCCAATTGTGGTGATGCCATATTACTGGCCCTCAGGCTGATATGGATCTCGCGCCAGTAAGGAACTATATCAACGATTTCTTTTTTTTTCCCCAGGCATTTGTGGAACAAGTGTTCACCCGGTGCAACAAATGGTGTAATATAGGAAGCATTCCATACCAAGTTGAATAGGTTGTAGATAATATCATAATATCATAATATCACAATATCACAATATGCGTGGTTCAAGTGATGCAAGTGGTGCAGTTGGAGAAGGAAACCCAACTTCTCATTGTATGGGGAATGAGGAACCACATCCGGTGGCGTCCAATGAGGTTCGAGGAATATTTTCTTTTTCTCCTTTTTTTTTTCAGTTTACTGTTTTTGGTAGAAATATGGTCTGGCATGAAGGGATCTGGAAATAAACTTATTATGGTACATCCATGGATAGTACATGGATTGGGCTTGTAGACAAAAGTACTAAATCCGCCATTGGCCCTTCTCTATTTAACACTATAGTGCTTATAGATTCATATGTCATGACGTTGGGTTGCAAACATGGGATGTATATATACACTATGGGAGCTCTCTATAGGATATCTCCCCCGTAGAAGTGATCAATATAATACAATATTTCAATCCTAGATACTATATTGTATGCATAAAATGTTCAAGATAAATAAATAACAGGTAAATAGAAAAAAAGATTGAAAAAAAAAAAAAAAAGAATCGAAAAAAAGAGGTGGGAAGTACTCCGTACATGGTGCAGGAAAACGCACAGCTCACCAATCACCGCCCTCGACTCCTTCGATTCCCCCCCCCCCCCCCATATCATGACTCTTCCTCTTGAAACATTCTCTCGACCTTTTCGCTTTTACTCATTTCTGTGACCTTCAGGTCTCAATTTTGATCAAGTTTCGTTCCCTTTCTCGGGTCAGCCTCTCCTGGGGTTGACGTTGTCGATCCAGCGCGTCGCTGTCGCGCCATTCCCCGCAGAGACACGGCTTCCGTTATCCTCCGTCTAACGTTTCGTGTTTCAGCCTGTGTGTTGTCTCGACGCCTCTGAACGCACAAATTTAACGGTGGATTGGTCGACTGCTATCACTCTGGAGCTCTTGAATTGATCAGTTCCCGAGTCTTACGACTTCGCTATGGACGGTTGATGCGACGGATGAATCAATAACCTCGATTAAGGGCACCCGCGCTGCCCAGCAGACGGTTCTGCTTGGCTGGAACCATATTATTGTTTTGTTCAATTTAACTTGATCTATTGCACCGTCCCCTCCCTACCCCTTGAACCTCGAATCCCGCTCGGTCGCCCGAGCGAGTCAGTATGGCGAGCAATGATTCCCCCAAACCACAATTCCTTGCGCCTCCTGCTGTCACAGCGCTGCGGCAGGAGGCTCGGAATATCGATCCGAAGATGGTTCGAACATTGAGCGATAATATGCGAGAGGAACGTGAGGATTTGAAGGAAGCGGCTGAACAGACATTGAACATCATTGTGGATATGGACCTGGAGGGTTGCGTCAAATGGGTCAGCCCATCGTGGAGGCAGGTGGTCGGCTCAGCCCCTGAGTCAGTTGAGGGCCATATGATATCGGAGATTCTGTTAGGCAACAAGGATGTATTCCGTGATGCCATCGAATCCATGAGGCAGGATGATTCACGGAGTCGTTTCATTCGCTTTGCCCTCCAGATGGGACCGGATTCTGTTCTGAAGTACGCGCCTGAACCACCCCCAGCGGCTACAGAGAATGTGACAAAGACAGAGGACGGCGCTGGGAAGTCTCAGGTGGAAGAGCATAATCACAATGTGCTCAACATGGAGGGACAGGGAATCATGGTCTATGACCGGACAGATGATGAAGCTGGCCATGTGCGTACCTCAATGTTTTAATGCCTACCGCCGTTTATACCACTGACGCTTTCTAAATACAGACCATGTGGATGTTACGACCGCTTACCGAGCCAAGAGAAGTGACAATCGATCTGCCCCCCCTACTGGTGGAGTCTTTGGGTGTTGGAGCGGAGGTGTTGGCAAATTATTTGACCGAATTGGCTGAGGCTGCAGCGACAGAACCCGATCCTTCCAAGCATCCCGCCCCGACCCCTGTCCTCTGTCGTATCTGTGAACGCCAGATTACGCCATGGTGGTTTGAGAAACACTCAGATCTGTGTCTGCAAGAACATCGGGCTGAGATGGATGTTCAAATGGCACAGGAAAACCTCAATGAGCATCGGCATGTCATTGTCAAGGTTTTGGATGCTTTAGAGGCCCGGCAAGGCAGACCTTCCATCGGGAGCGATGGAAATCCAATGCCCCTCCCTCAAGCGGAGTACAAGGGATTGGCCATCGGCCCGTCGTCTGCCGGCTCTACTCCGTCATCGGGTCCGGTTTCAAGCAGTAATTCAGCGCCCGGCACACCCCCTCGGTCGCGAGAACATTCTGCATCTGGTGTTATTCCAAACCGTCCCCGCTCGTTTACAGTGCGGAGACCATTAGCCCGCATTGTAGAACTTGTTCTTGACTTGTGCGACACTTCGCTAGAGATTAGTATGCCGATGATCAAGGAATCTTCGCGGACTGACGCAGAGGATTTCCGGACGTTATCACCACAATCTGAATCGCGGATCTCCCAGGTTCTTCAGTGGCAGTCCCCCAGTGCTAACACCTTGGAACAAGAACAGGGTCTGGCCGCTTTGTCGGCAGACACCGAACAAGTTGCCAAAGCAAAAGTTGATGCCGTTGTACGTCATCGCAAGATTGTCGAATATGCCGAACGAATTCGTATAGAATACACAGTGCTGGTCGAGGAATGCATTGGCGCAGCGCTAAGCAAAGCGGAGCGCATAGCTGCTGGTCAGCTCAGTGATTCCTCGTGCTCATCCGATGAAGAAGTGGCGCCTGAGAGCACTGTCGACAGCAATGTTGCCCTTGGCGATAGGAATAGCATTGCCGAGGAAGAGTCCCTCTCACAAGTCATGAGCCACGAATTGCAACAAAAGCCGTATCCAGCGGGAGCGTCTCCGCGGCGACCGACATCTGCGCTGACTCTGTCAATGCGCAATTCACCAGATCGGTCATTGCTTTCGCAATCGGAACGCAGACCGTCCTCGGCAGCAGTATCCACGGGTTCTAACAGCCCATTGGAATGTCCAACCCCGCGATCTCATAAGAGTGCTGCAGGACTTCTGGGTACATCACAACCCTCTCGACTTGGCCTTTCCCTAGCGGAAATTGATGCTGGTGACAGTAGCGATAGCAGTTTACCGTCTTCTATCTTTCCGGGAGCTGTGAGAACAGACTCACCCTCATCCGAGAGGAGCTTCGATCGAAAGCGCCGGAGCCTGGTACTGCCCGGACTTTCAAGTTCTCCTCGTCGGCAGCCTTCTCCCGCTCGGGTTTCAGGCCCGCATTCCCCGTTGCGCATGCCGAAGCCCCGTATGTCCAGCGGCGGTGAAAGCCTACCATCCCCAATGGCATCTCCATCTACATACGCAAGTGAACTGGCCCTCCATCACTGCCGCCACCATCGTCGGCAGTCCTCGGCAACTTCTTCGGATGTTACGAAGCCACCACCCTCCCCACGGTTGCCTTCGATGAGCCAACAACAGCCTCGGCCTGCTCCATTATCTATTCGTGATTTTGAAATAATCAAACCAATTAGCAAAGGTGCTTTCGGCAGTGTCTACTTAGTGAAAAAGAAGGCCACTGGCGAGTACTATGCGATGAAGGTTTTGAAGAAGGCCGACATGATTGCCAAGAATCAGGTCACCAACGTCAAAGCCGAACGTG